GACTTAAATTAAAATTTAAGCATTGTTGCATCAAATTAAGCATCACCCCCGCTAACGGTCCAGTACCGAAACTGGATTGTTTAGCTTTTTTTCGAAAATTTGGACAAATTCGTACAGTTTTTTACAGTTTCCGGTTTTTTCCTGCCCACGCCAAAATTTGATTTCCCCTCGCTAACCACCCCCCGCTAACAGTCCGGTACCGCAATTTTGCCGAAAATTCGTAGAAAATCAAACTATAATTTTATTCCCTTGAAAACTCGGTATTTTGCACTTTCTAGGAGGATTGGAGACGTTTCTCGGATGAGGTCAGCTGGTAGTAGATAGAATGGAAGCTATTTTAGTTAATTAATTCGTTTAAAGGGGCTCCGAACTGCCAAATCAAAGTCCTTTTGGGCGACCTCTTTGATTTCTGGCAAATTGCCAGCGGGCGCTGCGGGACAAGAGCCCTCACTCTTTCGATTTTTGCGCGAAGTTGTTTTTGTCCGGTTTCTTTGTGAAAACACTATAATTCGCGCATTCTGAGCCCATTTTTGAAATCCGCACTCAAGTTTGAATAGTTTTGGTGTTTTAATCATCAAATGTGGCCCAGAAACAGCCGAGAACGTGATTTCGAGGTGACAACAGCCAATTTCAAATTTGTGAGCTTCCCGGGCCCTGGGTGTACAGAGGCCTCCGATTTTCGGGCCGTCACTCAATTTTTGGCAGTTCGTAGCCCCTTTAATTCACCCCAAAATCCAATTTATTTCTCCATTTTCAGAAGTACCACCACCACATCCAGGATCGCGCGTCAATCTTCTACAAGCTGGGCGAGACGGGGCTCATCTCCTTCAGCGATTACTTGTTCCTGAAGACCCTACTCTCCAGTGAGGATTTTTAATTTTGGTTCTTTCTCATTATCGGGGGGACGAATTTTTTTTTGTATAAGGTTAGAAATGACTGGTTATTTAATAGAAAGTATTTTAATAGTGTTTTTCGTAAAAAAAGGACCATTTTTCATATGGAAAAAAATAGCTACAAAATGTTAAAAAAAGCGAAATTTTGGTCAAAAGGGCCATTTTTGGTCGAAAGATCGATGCTTTTGATATTTGAAAATATTTGGTATAATTTTTACTTTTCAAAAATGGTCAAAAAAAATTTAGAAACCCTTCCATTATTTATTTAAAATGACTTGATATCCAGTAGTTTTAAAAATGTAAAAAACACTACAAACTAAAAAATTAATGTTATTTTTCAGCGTCGCCAAAAGATTTCGCGCTGGCCTTCAGCATCTTTGACATCAACGGAGATGGGGCCCTCGACCGCGACGAGTTCTATAAAATCAAGGTATGCTTTTTGTAGTTTTTCTAACGTAATTAGTACGGCACTGGACTGTCGGCTGTCGCTAGAAAGTTTAAAAATTTTGAAACCGAAAATATTGACTTTTTTGGAAATTTTTCTTACATTTTTGGCCAAAAATGTCAAAATTTTTCCCAAATCGTAATTTTTTTGCGAATGTTTTGTATCTAAAAACACTGTAAAATGCTATAAAAAATATTTTTATGGAGAAAATTTGGTTCCTCCCCAAAAATCCCCCCGCTAACAGTCCAGTACCTCTAAAAGTTTTGGTTTTTAAAGCAAACTTAGTTTTAACATTATTATATATTTTATTTAATTTAAATTTAATTTTAATTTTAAAAATTTTTTAAACGTTTTGAATTTTAGAACCTGGTGATGTCGCAGTCGTCAATTGGCCTCCGCGAAATGACGCCCGGCATCTCTTCACACCATCGTCATCTCCAGCCCAATTCCGCACTCGAGACGTACTTCTTCGGCCCCCACGGCACCCACAAGCTCTCCGCCGACAAGTTCTTGCAATTCCAGGTGCGTGTGCAGATTTTCGTGGATCTTTCCCTTTACCGGGGGGCTTTTTCCTGCAGGTCTAGCATGTCTGAAAATCTATTGTATTTTAAATAGTATGTATTTACAAAACAAAAAATATTCAATGTTCTATTTATCATTCTATTTAAATCTATTTTATTTTTGATAATTTACATTTAGAAAATAAAAATTTTTTGTTTAAATTTAGATGACATTTTTTGTATTAATCTAAAACTGAAGGAAATATTTTCATAATGTTTTTTTGTCAGATAAAACTATTTTTTAACTAAAAAAACTATCTGAAAGCTTTGACAATTTTTCCAAAGATGGCCATTTTTGGACCAAAATTGATATTTTTTGTATTTTTAATAATATTTTGGGGCTTTTATTTCTATTAGCAGAATTGGATTCTAAGAACAAAGGACCCCCCCCCGATAATGCAAAAGAACCGCGAATTTCGCATTTTCAAGTCTACTTTTCAGGCCGATCTGCACCGCGACATCCTGAAAATGGAATTCGAGCGTCGCGATTGTCTCGACGGCGAGGATGGGGTAGATTTTTTCGATTTTTGTGAAATATTACTCTTATCCAAACAATTAGAAGTTTTTTTGGCGCTTTGGCATTATCGGGGGGACCCTTAACTTTTTTCCCCCGGGTCCAAAATGCCTATTCATGTGAAATCGGGTATTTTAGTAATGTTTTAAACGATTTTTCAAATCGAAAAACTAGCTAAAAACATTTCGAAAATTCAACATTTTCCGCGAAAAATCGTTATTTTGTATTTTTCATGATTTTTCGTAGTTTTTACGTTTCGCAGCGGTCAAAAAAAGCTTAGAAACCCTTTCCATACTCTTATGAGGAACCATCAAGCCCACGGAGAAAGCGCCCCCCGTTAATGCCACAGTACCACTATTTTTAATTTTATTTATTTATTTATTCAAATTTTATTGTTTTTTTTTGCAGATAATTTCTGAGCTGAGCTTTGCGCAGCTTCTCCTCCTGCATGCAAATATTGATGAGAAGAAGATGAAGGGAATGCTGAAGAGGGTACGCAAGAAATATCAAAATGGACCCGGCATCACGTTCGAGGAGGTGAGGAGGGGATGCTGGCAGGGATTCGTTGGGATTCGGGAGCCAGCTAGCAGAGAATCTTGGTGGAATGGAGGGCAAACTAGCAGAGATTCTTTGGGAATGGGGGCAGCCCAGCAGGGATTCTTCGGGAATAGAGGGCAGCCTAGCAGGGATTCTTTGGGATTGAGGGGGCAGCCTAGCCGAGAACCTTGCGGAAAGAAGCCCTTTTGTTGCAGGCAGTTTTTTTTTAATTTTAATACATTTAATTCCGGTCAAAACAATTTGGTTTAGGAGGGCAGGCTAGCAGGGATTTTTTGGGAATAGAGGGCAATCTAACAGAGATTCTTTCGGAATCTTGGCCCGTTTTGTTACAGGAATTTCTGAAAAGCGGGGAATGATGGGGTAACCTAGCAGGGATTTTTAGGGATTCGCGGGCAGTCTAGCAGAGGATCTTTGCGGAATATTTTTTGGATGATTTTTGCAAATTTTCATACATTTAATTACGGTTAAAAGCGACTATTTTAGGGGGGTGGGGCAAGCTAGCAGAGGCCATTTGGGAATGAAAATTCTAGCGAGGCAGATTAGCAGAATTTTTGACGAATATGGGGCAGACTAGCGGGGAGTTTTTGGGAATTTTGGGCATACTAGCCGGGCTCTTTTGGGAATGGAGGGCGAACTAGCAGAGATTCTTCAGGAATCTAGGCCCGTTTTGTTACAGGAATGAATTTTTATACATTTCATTCATTTAATTACGTTCAAAATCGTTGATTGTAGGAGGGCCAGCTGGCAGAGATCCTTTGGGAATGGAGGGCAATCTAGCGGGGAATCTTTGCGGAATCAAAATCTACAAATCTAACATTAATTGCCATTTGTTGCAGGTGGTGTCCTTGTTCGCGTTGTTGTACCACATCGAAGAGGTGGACATGGCCCTCCATTTCCATCGAATGGCCGGCGTCCCCATTGATGCAAACATGTTGCAGCACGTCGCCAGGAAGGTCGCAATTTTCTCTCTAAATTTATGCATTTTTTTAATCACGATTTTTTACTAATTTTGTGCATATATTAATTTAATGAATTTTAAGCTATTCAGTATTTTTAATTATCGTTTATTTAATTTTTCCTTTGATTATATAAAATTTTAAATGTTTTTTTCCTATTGATTTGACGCTTTTTCTAAAATTTTCAAAAGGAAAAAATTTAATGATGGTTTTTTTGGTTTAAAAATTTTGAAATTTAAAATTAAACAATTATAAATTAAATAATTATAATTATAAATTAATAAATTAAAAAATTTGTTGGTTTAAAAATTTTACCTATTTAAATTTGCTAGAAGATGGGATTATAATTTTTTATATGTTAGCTATTTAATGTAAAAGAAACATTTTATTTTTAGCCACCTATTTTAGGATGTAATTATTTAAGTTATTTAATTTTATTTTTGGATTCCAGGTGACGAACGTGGAATTGACTGAGCATGTCGTCGACGTCGTCATCACGCTTTTCGACGAGAATATGGTAGCATTTGAGACGGGTTTTTGAAGCGTAATTACCCGATTTAGGACGGCAAGCTGTCGAATCGTGAATTCGTGGCCGTGATGCGGAGGCGGATGCGCAGAGGGCTCGAGCATCCCAGGTGCCAATTTTTTGTAATGTTTTTCAAATTTAAATTAGAACATTGAAAAATTTTTGAACCTCAAAAACAAATATTTTTCTTGGATCTTTCGCGTTATCGGGGGGAATGTTTTCCATTACAAATTTTGACTTTTTTTGGAAAGTTTTTGATAGTTTGGAGACAGTTTTTCTAGTTGAAAAACAGTTTTATTTTGCTAAAACCATTGTTAAAATACTTCTCAATAGGTTAGTAGGCATTTTAGGATTATACCAACCCCCCGATAATGCGAAAGAACCTTTTTTTAAATAAAGAAAATACTTCCGCACTATTTTTTGCTATGCTTAACCGTAATTTTATTTTCGATAAATGTTGATGAAAAGCGGAAAATCTCATTTTTTGAAGATTTTCCTAGTTTTCTAATTTTTTTAATCAAATATAAAGCGTGATTTGATCAAGGTCTTGGGGTGAAGAAATACCCCCCCCCCCAATAAGGCAAAAGCACCAAGAATTCTGAACTATTCGTTATGGAAACTGGTGCTTTAGCGGGGGTAGAGACTACTTTTATTGTATGTGTTAAATCGACGTTCTGTAACTTGGCTTTATCAACTTAAAATTAAATTAATTTCATTAAAAATCTGAAATATAAATTTTTGAAAATTTTCAATGAAAAACGTTTATAATTTTTAAAATGTTTACAAGCGAAATTTAATTTCCATTTTTGGTTTCAGGGACACTGGCGTGTTCCGTCTGGCCGAGGCCGTCGTGGAATGCAGTCGACGGGCCATCTTCGACGCTCCACTTCCGCTCTACCAATTGAGGCACTAATCGACATGTTTTGTCTGATTTTTGGTGAATCCCATGATTAAGCCATGTATTTACGATTTAACGAATTGTTATTGCCTATTTTATGTTTTTTTCCCGGCATGTAGGGCTATCCGATTACGCCATGTTATTCTGCTCCTGTCCTCAAAATAAGAGGATTTATTTGGGTTTTTGATTGCTGTAATTTTCAAAGGGCTTTTGTTGGGTTGAATTTGCGTTTTTATACCTATTTTTCGCCATCCGATTACGTCATGTAATTCCCTTTCCCGGTTTGCCATAATTACAGCATATTGTGATTGTAACTATTCATAGCGATGTCTCTCTCCCTCTCTCCCTCTCTCTCTCTCTCTCCCTCTCTCTCTCTCTCTCTCTCTCTCTCTCTCTCTCGCTCGCTCTAGCTTATCTTATCACTCGCCCAGATGTTTTCCCCGCATTTTTGGGGCCTCTTTCGTTATTAGCTTATGTATAGAAATAACGCACCGGATAAAGATTTTCACGAGAAACAGGCTGTTATGAATTTGTGACTTTACCGCTGTTTTCGGCCCCATCGCTTTAAAAAGTGTCCGTTTTTCGTCGTAAAATGAGTTATTCCCGGTAATTCGTAATTTCGAAGAAGCCAGATTTTTGTAAAATCAGGTAGCTGCTTTCTTTATTTGTCTCTATCCTTCATTGGCTCTTTAGCATCCATCTTATTCGTGCCTAAAACCAGAGCAATCACTTGAGGAAAACCATGCTTTTTCTTTAAGGTAAAACACTTTTTCCGGGTCCTAAAATCGAAAAAGTCAAACGTTTTCAGCGTTTTAGTGAATTTCTGCCTCCAATGGCCCTTTAGAAAGTCGTATTCGTATTTAGAACATGAGCAATCTGTTGAGGCTTACCGTACGATCCGTACCGTACGTTTTCTGGCAGGCAAAGGGATATTTTTCTGAGGGTTTTGAAATTCAGTTTCTTGAAGCCAATCCATAGAAACCCATGTTTGTCGAATTTTGCGTGGTGTTCAGGCCTCAATTGTCCGTTAAACTGAAGAAATTAATTTTTATGAATTGTTTCATAATTTTAAAATCATTTGTCACTTCACGTTTTTTTAGTCGGATTCGTGTCTTGGAGAAGCAGCCGTTTTTTCGGGTCAAAACTTCCAAAGTAAACATATTTTTCGTAAATTTCTGCCTTCCGTGACCCTTTAGAAACCTCTAGAAAGCGATTGTTTGATAAAAAAAGTGTGTTTTGAGGTGAAGAGAATGTCACTTGCCGTGTTCCCATCGCTTTTTCAACTTTTCCCGCGTTTTCTAGCCAATTTTCACCGTCATGCTGGGTGCAAAATGTAGCTTTTGTGCGCTGAGTGCTATGGTTACAATTAGGGGGGAGAGGGAGAGAGACAGAGAGAGAGAGAGAGAGAGAGAGAGAGAGAGAGAAAGGCGTGTTTACACCCTCCACTCCGGCAGCCAGTTTTTCCGTCATAACGCGATAACATGGGGGCCGTGTAAACGCGAGATTCGCGCGGTTTGGTCAATTTTCCGTTCCAGAAATTTTTCCTAATTTTTATGCCGTTAAAGTGACAATTTTTCCTTTCTCAAACACCGCCATTCTTCGCTGCTTTTTATACCTGAAAAGTGTGTGTTGCAGCTCGAGAAATTGCCGAAATGCACGTGCCAAAAAGCGTCTTGATCACCGGAGCGAATCGAGGTATTTTTTGGCCTGGCCCATTTTTGCATTAACCTAGAAATGCCTAGAGAATGAATGGGAAGTATTTTCATAATGTTTACAATAAAATATAACTGTATTTCACTATCTAAATATCTGAACTATCTAAAAACGCTGACAAAATTTTCAAAAAAAGCCGAAATTTTGCTCAAAAGTCGATAATTTTTGTATTTTTTAAAATCAAACTTTGCAAAGTTTTTACGTTTGGGAATGGTACAAAAGAGCTTACAGTTAGCAACACCTCGACGATTCATTTCAACAAGAAGTCTTGAGAAAAAAGACTTGGACTCGCCTTTTCGAGAGTTGCTCATAGATACCAAAATCGTAAAAAAATATGGATAAATTGAAATTGAATGATAAATGAAAATAAGCGATTTCTCTGTAGGTATCGGCCTGGGCCTTGTCCATGCCTATCTCGGCCTCGATGGTGTCCAACATGTCTTCGCCACGGCTCGCGATCTCCCCTCGGCTAAGGTATCGATTTCGGGGGTGAAACCGCGTTTTCTGGCCGCCACCATACCGCAAAATCCCGACAAAAATCTCCGGGCCTTCAAAATGTCGAAACTCGATAATTGTCGGCATTTTCGATATTAATGCTTGGAATCGGAATTTTTGCTCTCCCCGCTTAATTGTCGGCATTTTGTTTTATGAATTAAAGGCTGAATTTTACCTTAAATTACGGCGTTTGGCTATAATTAATTGCCGTGATTTTATAGGAGCTAAAATCCATCTCGGACCCCCGACTTCACCTCGTCCAGATGGACGTCCAAAAGGATGAGACGATCAAGGCCGCCGCCGAGCAGGTAACCCACGGAAAACTGGGCATGCTAGCAGCGCTCATTTAGGAGTTTTCGACTCGGGAATTCATGTAAATATGTAGCTTAATGCCATTTCCAGGTCGAAAAAGTGGTCGGGGCCGACGGGCTGAACTTGTTGATCAACAACGCCGGCATCTGGGAGGCGTATCCGGTTTGTAATTTGGAATCTGGCACAATCCTTCTCTGTTTCTCTCTCTCTCTCTCTCTTTCACTCCCACTCTCTCTCTGTCTCTCTCTATCTCTATCTCTCCCTCCGTCTCTCTCTCACTCAGAAGTTGAAACGCCCTTTTTTCAGATGGATACCACCCCGAATCGGGATATTGTGAATCGCGTATTGGATGTGAACGGAACTTCCCAACTCATCGTCACCCAGGTAAATTGGTCTAAAAATTTTTGAACCTATTTTTTTTTAGTATTTCCTGCCGCTTCTCCGAAACGCCGCTTCCTCAGAAGATTGGGGCGTCCATCGCGCCGCTATCGTACGTTGTTAAAACGTTTTTAAAGGGAGTGAGAAGGCAAAAATCGGCTCTCCCCCTCACTCTCCCTCTCTCGGTCTCTCTCTCTCTTTCGCTCTCCCTCTTTTTTAGCCAATCCTTTAGGTAATGATGTCCTCTGGTGCGGCCTCAATCGTCGATAACGGAAGCGGAAGTCGGAATGGCAATCTCGCCTACCGGCTCAGCAAGGTGGAAAATTGCCCATTTTTCGCGAGTTCCCTAGGGTTACAGTAGATTTTCGCAGCCAAAACCGGGTCCATTCGATAGAACGCAAAATCCTGAACAAGCTACATATCTTAAAGAGTGCTAATCGGGTACGATAATCGCCAAAAATCGCGTCAAAAACACCGCTTTTCCCTAGAATTTTAATTTTTTTCCTTACCCACCGATTTTTCCGGTCTATTGTCGGTATTTTGCGCGTTTAAGGGCTGCATCTGGTCTAGCCTTCGCAGCTCTATCGAATAGATTTGGTGAATGAATTGGAAAACGGGAATTTGACGCAAAATTTGCATAAAAACGGCGTGAAAACGACGTTGTTGAGGCGGCCCTGAATCAGCTGATGAAGACGCTGGCCGTGGATCTGTCGAAAGAGGGCATTCTCGTGGCTTCTGTAGCCCCGGGCCATGTTCTCACCGATATGGGAGGGAAGAGCGCCGAGATTACGGTAGGATTGCAAAAAGCAGAGTTAGCAGCGACGCGACACGCAACGCGCACGCACGGCGGCAAAATCTACAGGGTGTCCAAAAATCCTCGCCCCTAGCCGGCCCCAGTCATGACCGGTTTTTACGATTTAGGTATCTATCGAAAGCTCTCCAGAAGCCGAGTCCCGCACGCTATTCTGATTTCCGAAATCTCGGAATTTTTTACGCAATTTTTGGCATTTTTCATGTGAAAGGACGCGCTTTTCTGTCAAAAACTGAATTTAACCGGTTTAAGCGCCATCCAAGATGTTTTAGCAAATGGCTTTCAAAAAGCTGCTTTTGAGCTGCCAGAAAAAGCCTGAAAATCCCTAAACTGCGTTTTTTTTTAGTAAACCCTAGGTTCAGGAAACCGTCAGAAAACCCGCCCATTGCGTAAGAATATTAGTAAATGTTAGAAAAATGTCAGAATTTTGAGAATCAGAGGGACGTGCTGGAGTCGTCTTTTCGAGAGCTTTCGATAGATACCTAAATCGTGAAAATCGGAGACAGTTTGAGTTTGCCGCGCCGCGACACGCATCGCAGACGCGGCTTGGCCGTCATGAAACGCTCGGAATCCATTATGCTGCGCAAAGGTTCTTTCCCATTATCGGGGGAGGCTAATTTATTGGACAAATCTAGCAATGTCTCAAAATTTATCAGAAACCTAAATCGAAAAAAATAGAATTGTTTTTTCGAATTTATTAGAACCATTTTTGGTCGAAAAATCTATATTTTAGCCCTTTTCTAGTGAAATTTGGTAAAGTTTTCACGTTTCGGAATCGTAGAAAACGGTTTATATTTGAAAAATGGGATCCTAAGAAAAACGCGGGTCCCCCGATAATGCCAAAAAACCTATCAAAAAGGCGATCCCGCGTGCGCGTTGCGTGTCGCGGCACGGCAAAATCCCAAAATTATGCCTTGCGCGGCCCTTTAAAACGTCCATAATCCTTTTTTTCCAGGTGGAGCAGTCGTGCTCGGAGATGGTGGCCACATTCTCCAAATGGGAAAAGCAGCACACCGGCGGATTTTTCCGCCGCAACGGCGACCCGTTCCCATTCTAAAAGCAAAAAATCTTTTTTTTCTAATTTTACGCATTTTTCAGCGTTTAATTCGAATAAATTTTCTGCCCAAAATTTACTTGCATGCCATTGGTACACGCTAAGAAAAGCGGCTGTTTGTTTTCCACTTTGTTCCCAGAAATTTTGGGTTTTTCACGGTTAGCGGGCAATCGTACACGCCAGCTAAACCTGCTCTGAAAGCCGAATTAAAATTAACGTTTTGCTTTACGTCGTTTCCGAATGTTTTGAATTTTTGGTCGAAATTTAAGGGCAAAATTTAAACCCGATAATTTGCCGACTGCACCAAGCGTGTCATTTCGGCTTTTGCTGGCTTATTTCCGATGCAAAATCGCCGTTTTCTTCGCGTTTTCCTGATGAAAAATCGCCTCCTCGTCCCTGGATCGATGCGCCCATTGGCGTGTGGGCTTTTCAAAATTACCGCCACCTAATTTGACAGATTTATTCGGGTTTTAATTCTTATTTTTGTATTTCTCCCGGGGTATTCGTTGGTTCTTTAGGATTCGCAGGTGGGGGGGGGGGATCAGATTTTTTTCGGCACAATCGTAAATTTTTTATAAATAGCGGATGCGTTTCTAAATTTTTTTGCATTATTCCTTTTCATGAAAACTACACAAATTTTAATAAAAAAATTTAATTTTAGGTCGCAAAATCCTATAGAACGTTTAGGATTCGCGGGAGGGGGGGGGAGGGACCCATAATGACCAAATTTTTTCAAATTTCAAAATCAAATTTTTCAATTTTTTTTCAAACATTTTTCTAACATTTTTTGATAGTTTTTCCGCTTTAAATATAGTTAAGATTTCCTAAAAACAATGTGAAAACACTTTATATTTGATTACTAGGTCAACAGTTGCCAGGAAAAATTGGTCCTCCCCGCGAATCCTAAAGAACCGATCCGTTGGATTTCCGGACTGTTTCCGGCCTAGTTTCCCTTCATACAGCGCTTAAATATACGTTCATTAGTTTGAATATCGTTTTACATGGTTTTTGCTAGTTCTCAAAGGGAAAATCATCCCCAAAATGGTTTGTCAAACGACCAAACCGGGTTCCTCCTAAAAATCGCTAAATTCCGTGGGGTTTTTAGTGTATTCTAAATGCGTTGTTATCTTGAAACAAACAGGATCATTACACTTGAAATACATTTTTAACGATTGTATTATTTTCCTAGACGAGAAGCTGAACAGCCCCAAATTTTACCCGACCTTTTTAGCGATGGCGGGCGCGCATCCGGAGAGTGTGATGATCACCGGCGCCGGTCGAGGTATCGCATCTGATTTTTCGTATATTATCTGTATTTTTCTTGCAGGTCTCGGCCTCGGCTTCGTCCGCGAATTTCTGAAGCTGCCCGGCGTCCAGCACTGCTTCGCCACCGTTCGCGACAAGTCACGCGCCACCGTAACAGATTTATCGGGTTTTTGCGATTATGACAGGAAATTCTCCGGTGTTTTCGTTATTTTTACTCAACTCTGCGATTTACCTACCAAATAATACCTTTTTTACCCTGAAGGACGTTCAAACAACGAAATTCCGACTTTCCAGATGTTTATCTGAATTTTTGCCCGCGAAAGCAGCAAATTCAGGAGCTGAACGCGCTGGCGTCGTCGGACGCTCGGCTGACGATCGTCGAGATGGACGTGCAGAAGGACGACACTATTGCCAGGGCTTTCGACCAGGTTTTTTTTTGGTTCTTTCGCATTATCGGGGGGCCTAACTTTTTTGAACACGTCTAAAATGTCTAGTAACTGCATAGCTGGTTTTTTGATATTATTTAAGAACAGATAACTGTATTTAAACTAGAAAATGCTTCTAAAAAGTTTTTAAAAGTCTAAATTTTGGTCAAAAATCGGCCATTTTTGGTCGAAAACCCTATATTTTTGGCACTTTTCGATAAGATTTTGTATAGTTTTTACGTTTAGGAACACTTTCACTATTTATATCTAAAAAATTCGATGCGAAGAAAAAAGAGTTGCTTCCCCCCCCCCGATAATGCGAAAGCACCACGATTCTTTGCAGATAAAAACTTGCGTGGGCGATGGTGGCCTTTCCCTCCTCATCCACAACGCCGGCGTGCTCATCAACTATCCGGTTACGCCACCGAATTCGGGCTGAATATTTTTTTAGATCGAAGAACCTTCGGATCGTGGGCGTCTCCGCGAGATTCTCGACATCAACACCGTCGCCCCGTTGGTCATCACCCAGGTGCGTCAAGTTCGGCAAGGAAAAGCTGAGAAATCGACTGTTCCGTGTATTCTTCACTTTTCAGAAATTCCTTCCGCTTCTCAGATGCGCCGCGGATCGAGTGAAGAAGGTAGACCAGAGAGAAAGAGAGAGAGAGAGAGAGAGAGAGAGAGAGAGAGAGAGAAAGAGAGAGAGAGATAGAGAAAGAAAACGGTTCTTTAGGATTTCCGGGGGAAAGTATTTCCGGGGAAACCAAATTTTTTCGGCCCGAGCCTAAATTTTTTTCTAAATAGCGCATGCGTTTCTAAATGGTTTTTAACTAGTGCTGAGCATAAAAACTACCCACATTTTAATTAAAAAAATTAATTTTAGGTCGAAAATCCTATAGAACCTTAGGATTAGCGGGGGAAAGGACCCAAAATGACTAAATTTTCGACTTTTTCAAACATTTTTCTAACTTTTTTGAAAGGTTTTTCTACTTTAACTATAGTTAAAATTTACTAAAAACAATGTGAAAACACTTTATATTTTATTACTAGGTCAACCGGGAAAAACAGGAAAAAATTTGGTTTCCCCGGAAATACTTCCCCCGGAAATCCTAAAGAACCAGAAAAACACAGCTTTTCCAGCATAATCCCTCATTTGGCTGCGCCCGCTCGGCGGTCATCTTCATCAATTCGGCCACCGGATCGCTGGCCGACAATAAGTGAGGAGAGCTGGAAATTCAGAGTCTAGAAAAACCCAAAACGTCTGAAAAATGCCAATATCCTCGTGATGCAGCCGCAAAAAACAATGCCGTGCCCTAAAAAGTATATTCCGGCTTGCAAAACCTTTTTTGGCGGCTTAAAAACACGTAATTTTGCAAGATTTGCCCAGTTTCCCGCATTCCCCGCGAAAATCCGGCCTTTTCCAGGATGGGCAGCCGCATCGGCGAATTCCACACGATCGGCAGCAGAATGAGCAAGGTTTGCTGAAATTTCCTCTGCTAAAACCCCGCGAAACGATTCCCGACATCGAGAAAATGTGCCGCAAAGCCTTCAAGAAACCTAAAACTACCAAATATACACGAGAAAAATGGTATATATCATCAAAAATGTGGTTTTATACCGGCTAAAAATGCCCCCCCCCGCTAACAGCCCAGCACCAAAACAAACGACTTGCAGGCCGCCCAGAACCAGGTGATGCGCACGCTGGCCGTCGACCTGCGCCCCGACGGCATTCTGTGCTGCTCGCTGGTGCCCGGTTGGGTGAAAACGGATATGGGTGGAGATGGCGCCATCACGACGGTTTGTGCTTGAAAAGTTTCCTTCTTCACCATAAGCTGAACGTAAAAAGCTTTTGCTCTGCGTTATCCCGCCCTCGTTGCCATTCGTGAACATCTTCAGGTCGAGGAGGCGTGCACAGAGATGGTGGCGACGATGCTGAAGATTGACGAATCACACACGGGCGCATATCTGCGGCGCAACGGCCAACAATTCCCTTTTTGAATTTTCGCGACTCTGAATCGGAGCTGAATAAAAATTATTGATCGTTTTCTGCTCACAACGAATTTTTATAAGCGAAAATCGGCACAAAATATTAGCAAAACAAAGAAAAGATCAATTCGGAATCGGGGGAAAGAGAGAGGGGGATACATTTCAATGGATGAGGGAAATGAAAGGATACAGAAATGGAGGATCGAGATATAGAAGGCTTATTTCTTCTTGGACGAGCCGAAACCGCCGAATCCCATCATCTCGGCCATTTCGGGGTCGAGACCGCCCGGGCCCGCTGATGGCCCATCGTCCTCATCTTCTGGGTCGGCTTTTCTGAAAGAGATCGATTGAACAAAAAGCAGCAGAATCCGTACAAAAGGCAAAAGGTCTGATACACCTCTGGTCCAATTTTGGTACCGATTGGATGTAACACGGCAAAATGCCAGATGGGTCGTTTTTTAAAACACCCTGTATTAGCGCGTTTTCGTAGTTTTTGAATGTTAGAAAGTTGAAGACACACCTGGACGAGCTTGAACTTCGCCTCCAGGTTCTTCAAGTCCAACTTGAGCGCGTTGCTCTCCGAAAGCTGAGCAGCGAGTTGAGCCCGCGCATCCTTCAATTCCGCTTCCAGTTTCCGAATCCTCTCGTCCTTGGCGAAGGCGGCATCCTGGTGCTGTTGACATTTGTCGTCCAAGTCGTTGGCGAGCTGGTCGGCGTGCTTCCACTTTTGTTGATACCGCTCGACGACGCCGAGCAGGTGAACGGCATCGTACTCGAATTGATTGGCGAATAGTTGGCTCTTGTATTGGTTGAAGCCGTAGAGGTCGCCTCGCTCGAGCTCGTCGTAGGTCGCTGAAAGCAGATTATAAGTCGTTAATACGAAAGATTGGGTTCTTTCGCATTAACGGGGGATTTTATTACCAAGTAAGGCCAAAAATGCGAGTAACCTAGCAGTAAGAAGTAATTATTTCAATAATAATGTCTTTACTAAAATTTAACTATCTTTCCAGTAGGAAAATAATAACAAATTTCGCTGAAATTTTGGACGAAAAATCTATTTTTTTTAACTTAAAAACACCTTAGAAAAACTCGAGTTTTAGAGATGTTGCCCCCCCTGCTAATGCGAAAAAACCCAAATTTGTATAACTGGTACTGGAGGTTGCAGTAGAAATTCCGAGCAGCATGAAGACGAGGAGCATTCCGATGATCGTGGTCGCGGCGGGAGCAGCTGCCTTTCGGGCGCCTCCTAAATTATCATAATTTGCATCCAAGCTAAATAATACGGGTTTTCCCAGGTTCCTGTTTGCCCTTCCAGTCTGTCACTGCACGGGCGAGCGGCGTGGCGACGATCTGACAGTACCAGCAAGACCGGCCTAAAAATTAACTTTATGCATTATCGAAGAGCAATACTTACCTCTCAGGATTTCCAGAATACGCGTGTACGCCTCCAACTCGGCCTCGGCAAAACCGCTATAAAGAGATATTTTGCAATAAACTTTTGGCCTACATGTCGTCAACGTAGACGGCTAAATCAGCACATCCCTTCATTTGCTGGCAACACGGTTTAGCCGAGCGAGCCCACGGACTAGTATTTATAAATTAAATAAATCTGGGTACTCGGCTGTTAGCGGGGGGGTTCCGAATTTTTGTCGTTCCACATCAACCTACCTGTGGTAACATAAAAATGTATATTTAGCGCGTTTTCGTAATTTTTGAATGTTAAAAAGTTTTAAATCTATTTTTTTGCGTTTTTTCGCTCATTCTTCAAACATTTTTCGCCATTGATCAAAAATGTTCGAAATCATATTCAAATCCAAAAAAAACGCTGTAAAGCCTCTTAGAAATGGTTCATATTTTGTGGGGCGGGCTGTGTGGTATCCCTGGGGAAATCCCCTCCCCCCCCGCTAACAGCCCAGTACGGAAGCTGAATTCAAACTAACCCCGCCTTCTTCTGGCAAGAAGGGCAAAGGATGACGCCGTAGAGCGGGCCCTGTGTTGTCGGCGCACTGCAGTGGAAGCACTAAAATTTCCCCTTTATTGTGAAACCAATATGTAGCCCACGGGTCGCTGCTCTCTCTTGCCTCTGATCTTCTTGACGAATCGCCTGAACGGCCCGTCTCGGTTCTGTAAATGATTTAATATTTTTGAGGCAAAATCAATTTTTTGGGCTGCGGGGACTACATTTCGTAATGCTTTCCATTTTTCGATTCTCCTAATTGGCTCGCCAATTTTGATAATTAAGAGGCGAGCATGATTAAAATCGTCAGAGGACTGCAGAAATCGCGCCAGGATTTGCGAATCCTTGTCTTCTTGCAATCTTTCAGGCCGCCGCAGAAACTCAAGAACATATTTTTGCGTTGCAGCAGTCATTACACTACGATTCATCCTGTAATAAAAACGCGCACGAGAGGGGGGCGAAGGGGCTAGGCTACGGGGCGCTCAATACCCCTCGCGTAATGCATTGTTAAGCTAAGGGGTGCTAACTTTTCCACTTTCAACTGGCTATAACTTTTTTCTGAGAAGATTTCATAATCTACTTGAGTGTACAGAAAAATAGAACAGCTTCTGCTCTATCTTTTGGTCAAGGTTTCCTGAAAATCGTACACGGCAATCGGGCGCCCGGTCGGTTTGAAGTTGAAAAAAATGAGGTACCTAGGACAACGGGTATCATAGGGAAGCCAAATGTTTGTGCATAGCGCCCCAATTGCATTTTTTTTGATAGACCATAGATAGCAACTATCCAATAAAGTGCAAAATCGCATCACCTTGACATCTACATCAGGCTTCAATAGAAAGTTAGTTAAAATTTTCAACTGGCTATAATACTTTTTACTGGCTGTTCTGGAATCTGCTTGAAAGCTAGGAACACAGAACAAACTTCGCTCTAGCTACCGCAACCAGTTTTAGAATGTCGTAGCGTTATGATTTTAACAGCGGTCTATTTGGATATATGCATGAGTCCGCTGTTTTTCTTCATCCATTCTGCGCGAAAGAAAGTGATAGCATGCTTCTTGATTCGTCTAGAGCAATGAAATTCCATTAGGAACATTTTCCACAAAAAAGCAAAACGAAAATGCGGAGGCCTGCGAACCCGGGAACCGAACCCGCGTCCCCTGTCTCGGGGCTGAACCGCCGCCTTAGACCACTACACCACACCCCGACCACCCCTCCCGTGCGCGCTCTGAAAGGCCCGCAGATAGCTAATATTAGCTATCTGCGGGAATCGACGCAGCAGGGGGGAGGGAGGGGTGATGGACCAGACGTTTTAATCCCTTTTTGGAGAGTTACCTCATCGCGGTCCTCCGGTACGGCCATCTAGAGCAGGAGGAGGAGGAGAGATATAATGGCGGCATATTCCTGAGAATCGGTGCCATTCTGGCGAACATGCTAATATGGGCAATCAACCCAGGGATGCAAATGAGGCACAAAAAAATCCTTTTGCCTAAAAAATCCTGCTTTTTATACCGGTAAAGCGAAAGAGATTAAAAATAAGGTGGCTTCCGTTAAGTTCGAAGTCGTGGACGTTGATCATCCGCACAGCAACCCAGCATGGGGACGACTCCAGATGACTTTTCAAACCAGACTCCCGATATGTTAACGGTTGGTACCGTTTGTTCCGGAATCGTGGGCGTCTCCACAAGATTCTCGACATCAACACCGTCGCCCCGTTGGTCATCACCCAGGTGCGTCAAGTTCGGCAAGGAAAAGCTGAGAAACCGACTGTTCCATGTATTCTTCACTTTTCAGAAAATCCTTCCGCTTCTTCGATGCGCCGCGGATCGAGTGAAGAAGGTAGACCAGAGAGAATGAGAAAAAAGAGAGAAAAACTATCCCAAGAATCTGGAAAAATTCCTTAAAAGGTCAAAAGCCCCATTTTTGTCGAAAAACGGTATTTTTACCGAAAGGAAAGGCTCGATCCTTACGGAAAAACCTTGCCCGATCTTACGGAAGAACCTAGCTGCTGTCCTATTTACCATCCGTGAACATCTCCAGATCGAGGAGGCGTGCACAGAGATGGTGGCGACGATGCTGAAGATTGACGAATCACACACGGGCGCATATCTGCGCCGCAACGGCGAACAATTCCCATTCTGAATTTCCGCGACTCTGAATAAAGCTGAATAAAGATTATTGATCGTTTTCTGCTCACAACGAATTTTTATAAGCGAAAAATCGGGCCAAAATATTAGCAAAACAAAGAAAAGATCAATTCGGAAACGGGGAAAAGAGAGAGGGGATACATTTCAACGGATGAGGGAAATCAAGGATACAGAAATGGAGGATAGAGATATAGAAGGCTTATTTCTTCTTGGACGAGCCGAAACCGCCGAATCCCATCATTTCGGCCATTTCGGGGTCGAGACCGCCCGGGCCCGCTGATGGCCCATCGTCCTCATCTTCTGGGTCGGCTTTTCTGAAAGAGATCGATTGAACAAAAGCAGCAGAATCCGTGCAAAAGGTTCCAGGTGGAGGCAGCAAAAGCGGGCAACAGGGCTAGGCTACGGGACGGGACGCTAAAAAATCTTTTTTTGGTCCTAAATCAGCTTTTTTCACAAGGTTTTCATCTATCCAGCCCAGAAAACAGCATAAGAAGCCTGTGGAACGTTAGCAAAATACAGAGGCCCGCGTAAAAAGCGCTGGAGCGACCTTGGATCCCCTCGATCTTGTAAACAAGGCTATTCCCACCCGTACGATCTCTAAATATGGTTTTTCAACGATCGGCTGGCTAAAAAGATAGAAAATAACAAGAAAGTTAGCGAGAAATCGATACGGCTAGTCGACAAAACTATCCTTAAGCTACCTTAAAGACGAAACTCGGAATCAGAATAAAAATAAGATTAGAATAACTAAACCCAGAATCGCTAACAATCAGACTATCTAAATTTGGGAATTTCGAGATTTCCTTGTTCAGAAAACCAGAGGAATTTGGCGGGAATTGAGTGTGAAGCAAATTTTACCAATAGCTTTTTCGAAAAACTTTTCGGGGGTAATTTTTTCGCGCTGATTCCGAAACGTAATAGCGAATCACGAATGCGGAATGAAATTTTGTGTCTATGCTTTTGAAATTTGGAGATTCTGAAAGTTTGTCCTTAAAAACATCACAGAAGCTCTAAAGCCAGCAATTTCCGGCCTCCGTTCCCTGGCTTTGCCGCAATGCGCGATTTTGTCGTCATGGAAAGTCGTACGGCGTACCGCTTGCGCTCCTTCCGCTTTCCCTGCTTGTAGTCGACCATTCGGGCCTCTTCTTCTTGAATCTCTTCCAGCGCCTCCTTGATCTGCTCCTCGCGCTTCTGGCTCACTTCTGAAAACAGAAAATCATACATCTTCATCGATAAAATGCTCAACAACAGCCGCAAACGAAAAACTGACGCTCTTTCTTCTTGAAGGCGAATCGTGCCTTGACATCGTCGAGTGTACTCCGCTTCACCTTCATGCTCATCCCCATATTCTTCTGGTGGTTCTTGCCGTTGATGTGGTCCAGAAAGTTGATCGAATCCTAGGAATATTTCGTTCAAAACAAAAGTTTGGCGCCATTTACCTTGATCACACAGTCGCACACGTTACAATAGTAGCCGCCGGCATCGCAGTTTGGGGCCGTCGTGTTGATCACCACACTTTTGCCCACCTTCGACTCGAGGTCTACCTACAAAACCAAATTTACGAAACAATGCGACAAACGGACCCTGTAGTCGCGAGCCTGCAGCAACTCGCGGGCCGTCTTCGGCTTGGTGCCCTCTTCGGCTTCTTTCTCGAGGGCGGCCCTTTCCGAGGCCTTCAACGAGTACTCGTACGTGTTCCATGTTCGACGATGACTCTGTCCGGCCGCTGATGTGCCCGCTTTCTCGTAGAAGGACATTGCCTGAAAAAAAAAATCAATTTTCTGAGTAGATTTTAAGAGTGAAAACGAAGCGAACGAACCCCCAGAACTGCAACGACAAAATCCACAAAGTTCAATGCATCTTTCTAGGCAAAACCCTAAGAAAATATAGATTTCGTAGCCGGAAATTCACTGGTAGGCGACAATAAACTTCAGGCTCGATATAGAGCTCATTCAGCTTTCTTTATTAAATAAATTCCGACCAATTCGGCTATGCCATTTCATTTCGATCAAGATCAAGCGCAGTAAATGGCAGAAAAAGTAGCTATATTGACAGAAATGAACAAAAAATGGTATCTACGCCGCCAAACGCATTTCGCGCGACGCACTTTTTGCTTCTATTGTTAAATCACCAGGTAACTAACTTGTTACAGAATCTCGCTGCCACATTCGAGTGAGTTAACCTTACTTTAGGGACTTTTACAGGGTTTTCCCGGGCCCGCAAAACGATTCGCGCCTGTCCACATCGCCCATTATAAATTTGTAAGCATACTTCTTGGAAAATAGAAATTTAGAAGTTGTGAAAAGCCGAAGACACGCACGAGCAAGCAGATTCGCGACCATCGGCGTGAAATTGTAAAGGGACCATGCGGTGTCAACGGAATTAGTATCCACCCGTACAAGGGTATCGCGCAGGTGTTTTTATCAACAACGCCTTTTTCACATGGTCCAAATGTGTATTGGCGCCCTGCGTACGCCATCACTGATAAGAAAAAAAAGTTGTTTGTCCAGATTTTAGAGGAAAGTGCACTTTTTGGCCTCGTTTTCTTGATGTTGTAGGGCCAAATTCGAGTTTAACCTTTTCTCTGGGCGACGCTGCAAATTTTCCAGCTCAATTCCTGTTAGATGTCGTTATTTTTCGAGCTAAATCGATGTTTACTCATTATGCCAATGCAAGCATTTTGGAACTATTTAGGTTGGGGGGCATTTTTTTCAGGCATAGGCTTAGCTTTGACTTTGTTTAGGCTTCGGCTTAGCGTAGGCCTAGGCATAAGCTTGATTTTGACTTAGCTTAGGCTTCGTCTTGTCTTTGCTTAGGCTTAGTCTAGGCGAACTTAAACGTGGCCTAAGCCTGGCCTAGCCCTAGTTTAGGCTTAGCCTAGACTTATCTGTGGCTTAGGCTTCCTAGGCTTGGCTTGTAGACTAGCTTAGGCCGGAAAGAATCCATAGCGCTAACATTTTACTATGCTTAAGCTCTAATTTTTAGAATCGAATTTTGAGCGTATACGTAGCTGAAGTGTTTTTCTAATTTATTTTTCAAGTCCTAAACGTAAAAACTTCAATTTTTAGGAGAAATACCAAAAATATAGATTTTTCATCCAAAAATTTCCGATTTCTAGCCTTTCCATGTTTTTTGCATCCGTTTTCTATCCTTTTTACGATTCTTTTTTTAGCGACCGATAACACGATGCCGCACCCGACCTCGGTCCTCATCACCGGCGCCAATCGAGGTAAATTATCTTTTTTATCAATTTATTTTGTTTTAGGCATCGGCCTCGGGCTGACGAAGGAGTACCTGAAGCTCGACGCCGTCAAGCACATCTTCGCCACGGCGCGCAACCCCGACAAGGCCGAGGTTCAAAGTTTTTCTGAGTTCTCAGCGTATTGTTTCATTTTTAGGGGCTCACGCAAATCCGGGACCCGCGGCTGAAGGTGCTGAGAATGGACGTGCAAGATGTCGCCTCGATCAAGGCCGTCTACGAGCAGGTAACTGGCTTGAAAGTGGCCCTCTCAACGTGTTTTCAGGTCTCGCGGGTCGTCGGTGACTCGGGCCTCAACTTGCTGATCAACAACGCCGGCATCTGGACGAACTACGTGGTATAGAGTTTTGGTTTTGACTTGATTTTTCGCGATTCCAGGTTGCTGCAGAGCCCGACCCGGCGGCGCTCCTCAACATTCTACACACAAACGCCGCCTCGCCCCTCATCGTCAGCCAGGTATTGTTTGATTTACAGGTTCTTTCGCGTTATCGGGGGGGGGGGGGTGCAACTTTTTCTAAGAATCAAATTTTGCTGAGGACGTGGCTCTAACTTTTTTAACGACTCCTAAAGTCAAAATTTTACATTTTGGATAAAAAATATAGCCGTTTCGACCAGAATGGAAACCTAGAAAATTTTATGTTCTTTTTCATTCGGTTTTCCACTTAAAATATGGTTAAATTGTTGCTAAAAACACTATTAAAAGTCTTACTTAGGCGTTACTGGGCATTTCTGTACTTTTAGGAAAAGAAATAGACCTACCGATAATGCCAAAGAACCGAATTACATTGCATAATTTATTCTTTCAGATCTTTCTGCCCCTAATCCGCAAATCCGTGGCCCATGGCGGCGAATGGGGCGCGCAAAGGTGAGTTTTTCTTGTTTTTTTTCAGGTTTTTATGATAAAATTGTTTTAGAGGCGCGATCATCAACATCAGCTCGGGCATGGGATCGATCGGCGAGAACACGTCGGGCAGCGGGGCCAACCACTCGATCGCCTATCGCATGAGCAAGGTATCAATCTTTGAAGGCTGTGAGAAAAACGATTCGTTTAGGCGGCCCTGAACCAGATGATGAAGACGCTGGCGGTGGACCTGAAGAAGGAGGGCATTCTGCTGGCCGCCTTCTGCCCCGGCTGGGTGCAGACCGATATGGGAGGCAAGAATGCGGCCACTACGGTACGGGCTTCTCCTCAATCCTAAATCGTGTCAAAATCAATTAGGATTTTTTTTGTGATTTGAAACCTTTTAGTCATTAGGAACTTTCGCATTATCGGGGGGCGGGAAAATTTTTTTCTTAGGATTTAATTTTTGAAATTGAAACGGTTTGAAATCTAAACTGTTTTGACAATTACTAAACGTAAAAAATTGCAAATTTTTATTAAAGATACAAATATAGATTTTTACCTAAATTTCGACTTTTAAAAATTGTTTCGATAGTTTTCTAATCCAAATTTAGTTTTATTTTACTAAAAACAGGATGAAAATACTTCCAATTATGTATTTTTAGATAATACAAAAAATTTTGTCCCCCCGATAATGCCTAAGAACCAGAAATTGGAATTCCAGAATTTTTATAGTTTTTTTTCAGGTAGACGATTCGGCCGAGGCGCTGGTGAAGACGATCGGCTCGTTCGACGAGCAGCACACTGGCGGCTACTTCCGGCGTCACGGCGACAAGATCGAGTTCTAGGAAAGCCCCCCCTCCCTATCTTTTGTGTGTGATAATTTTGTACTTTTCGATTGTTACCTCTTTGTACTGTGTCTACCTCGATTTGACTTTGTAGCGTTTACCTCTGCCATATATCCGGCCCCCGTTTCTCGCACCAATTTTTAAGTCTGTTTTTTTCGTATCGTATCGTATCCATCTTATAATTTTGCCATCTACTTTTCCAGCCCCATTTCTGCCGGTTTGTCGACTTTTTTAGGTATTTGAATAGGCGCCTTCTCACTTTGCAATAAATATATCTGAATATTATTGATGACCCCAAGGGCGCTAGAAAAACCTTGCTGAACCAGGCGGTACATTATCAGCCTAGAAACGCGTTTTCCGTGCTAGTTTTGTAGACTGAATTGAAATTTATTATTTTTCGACTATAGAAGCGTGATTTTAGGCGACAGGGTCTATTTTATTGGTTTAGACTATGGAACGGTTTAGAGCACCAGATACAAAACTTGTAGGTCGCGAAAATCCGCCGAAACCTTGTGTAATTTGTCGTCTAAGGCCAAATTTTTGTGATTTCAATTGGTAACTCGCCGTTTTACTTTGACTATTTTTTTAATTTGTCGGCTAGGGTTACTTTTTTGGGGTCTAAAAATATTAGGTTCGCCCTCGGGACGAAAAACTAGCCCAGAAAACGGCAATATATTTCAGTTGCCGCGTAGTTTTCGGGAGAAGACTGGCGATTTGCCGGCGGCCATTTATCCACCTGGGCGGAGGTGCGCCGGCGAAAATCGACCCCGAAATCGTCGGCGGATTTATTTCGGCCGCACTTTTTGGACCACCGATGCCCGGACTTGATTTTTTGGAGGTTTTTGCAGATTCTAGCTGCCGGGTCCTTTGCATTTCGGGGATCAATCCTAGGATCCAGTTATTCCAATATCAACAGCGCAAGTGTTTTATGCTGTTTTTTTACCATTCCTAGACGTTCAAACTTTACTAATTTTGATTTAAAAACAAGAAATATCGATTTTTCGACTAAAAATTGTGATTTTAAAATGTAAAAGTTCTTTAGAAAATTTTCCGACTTCAAATCAAGTAAAATCTTGTTCAAAACACTATTGAAATACTTGCTATTACGCTACTAGGCATCTAATAGGGCTTATATTAAAAAGCGTGTGCTCTCCACCCCCGATAATGCGAAAGACCCACGGACCAGTGTTTTGTACTTTCCGACGCAGCGTAGCCGAAAAGCCGCAAAATCCGCAAACGGAATCTGCGAAAAATCCAGCTCTACGACCCCGTAGAAAAACACGGGATTGGCCCGTGCCCAAATCGACGATCAATCACGTTTTTGAAGCCGTCGGAATGGAAGAAAGGCCTGGCATTTCCTGTGGTGTTGCTCGGAGAAGAGAGGGGGAGAACAGCTGTGACATCCCCCCCTCGGCCACAATCACTCCATTGCCACTTGCAAATTCTTTTGACAATGGTTTCCCTGGGATTTGGCCACGTTTAAATTCACTTTGATAAAATGCTAATCAACGGGAGATTTTTTAAGGATGAGTCCCCGCTAACAGTCCAGTACCGGATTTCACACGAGCAGAATTCTTAAGAGTTTTCCAGACTTCCCCCCTTCACGAAAAAATGGCGCGATTGGGGATTTGTTTATTTTACGGCCTTTCTTCTCATTTGTGGTTTTTGGGGGGGATGGCCTGGGGCTATATGGCAGATCTATTGAGAGAGCCAAAGCGGCCACAAAACCACACTCATTTCGGATATTGCTTCTCCTCCACGACGCGGCAAGGGGAGTCGCCTCTTTCTAGTGCTCATTTCGCTTTGCCGATTGGTCAAATATTGCTGAAAATCCGAAAAATCACCACTAAAAATCAGCAGCAATGTTTTGGGTGATGTCCCGGCTGCGCGGCAAGGTAAATACGGTGTTGAATTTTTGACGTTGTTATTGAAAACCTTGCGGAGTCGGTACTATTTCGTTAGCGGGGGGATGTCGAAAAATACAGAAAATCCCGAAAAATCGCTTATCAACCCCAGTTTCAGGGTTTTTTTGCTCTTTTTTATAACTTTATTAAATTATGGTTGTTTTTATCTCATAATTAATAGTTTTAGTATTTTTCATGTCCTTTAACGGGTCGCGATGATATAATCCGCAAAAACAGTGAAATATTGAAAAATTTACCACATCAAGACCCCCCCCGTCTCATATTTTTACCAGTTTTACATATTTTGTTTATACCACATTTTTGCGTGATCTGCCGAATCTTTGATGATTTTCCCCATGGAAATCTCTTGTCAAAAAGCCAGAATCTTTCAATTTTTACACTTTTTTGGCTTCGGGACGGCAGTTTTTTCGCAATCCGTTTGAGAAAACACAGCTTGGATCGAGGCTAATTGTCAGCCGATGAAGTTGGGGAGTTTTTTTGGGAAAAGCGTGTAACTTTTGCATCAAAAGTGGCAAATCGAGCAAAAAAATCCCCGCGGGATTCCGAAAATTGGAGAGGAGATCTTGGATAAAATATGATATTGCAACTTTAGCATAAAAATGAGGAAAATCGAGCTCAAAAGGCGGGAATTTCGAAAAACCGGCGAGCTCCGCGCGTCGAGAGCTTTCAATTGATGCCTAAAACGTAAAAATCGGCTCGGTTTTTACAACTTTTATTCGCATTTGCAGTGTCCATTTCCCGAACACCACCCACCCAATTTTCCAGGCGACTTGGCGCCGACACCAGAAAAATGTTCGAATTTCGGGGGCGTTTCCGTTCTCTGGCCCATTGCTCGTAGTATAGTTTATTCTCCGGGGGTTACAGCTGTTTTTAAAGGACTGGAAATTGCCAAAAATCGACCCTCTCCATCGTCTAGGTCTAGACTACTACCTCATGCTCAAAATGACACCTGAATCCCTACCAACGCGCATGGTTTCGGGCGCCGTGGAGTAGATGTCGACCCCTAGTGGATTCTAGAGGTCGAATTTCGCGCTGCATGGCCCCTTTAAAGGGACCGGAAAGATAAAAATATGGATTTTGCACCCCAACCCCTTCAATTTGTCCGCATTTTCAATTGCTAAAATGTCGAATTTCAGCGCCCAGCCGCCCCTAAAATGTTCGTGCTCGACCTCGCAAAGGTGGGTTTCATGACTGGAATTTTAATATTTTCTGTATTTAAGCATTTTTTTGGACTGATCGAAATTCTGAATTTCATAAAAAATCATCTAAGATGTAAATTTAATTTAAGCGAAATTTTGCCGGGTTTTCAATAGCTATTTTCACCTTAAAAATGCTTTTTATCAAAGTTTTTAAATTTTGAATTTTTATGCATTTTTTGGGCTCCGATTAAAACCTGTATTCTATCCAAATGGTATAAAAATAGGAATCGAATTCACTTTAATTTTTTCTGGATTTCTTATGGCTTTTTCAGCGCAAATAAAAATTCTAAACTTGAGGAAAACGATTAAAAAATATAAATTTACTTAAAATCTAATTTTTCTGTGTTTCGAACCAGCCAGTTTGCATTAAAACCTTAATAAAATTTAAATTTTTAATCCATCAAAAAGGATGCGTGAACCGGCCATGTAATTTGTATTTACGCAGTTTTTGCACTTTATTTATAGTTTTTTGCATCTTTATTTTATTGTATTTTTGTAGTTTATTTTTTGAAGAATCTCCTGGCATTAAATAGGTGCCTGTTTGTAATTTTATAATTTCGCCATTTCCCCAAGAATCCACGCAAAACCCCCGTTTTTCGGGGCCGGCAGAAAGTGGCCATTTATTCTGGGTTAAGCCACCCTTTTTGGGGGCCACCGGTTGGGCTTTTCCCTCCCCTCCCCCCCCCCCTCCCCCTCCCCAGCTTTCTTGAAAGCCACTTCCGGTGGTGCTTTTGTCTGTGTGGTGGTGGTGGAGGGGTCCTGCAGCGAAAGCCCCGCCCCCTTCCATTAATGCATCGATATTAGCCTCTCGAGTTAAATACCTATATTCCGCCCCAATTACCGTAACCCCCCGCGATGCTTCTCGTCGACAAGCTCAAAATAAAGATCAATGGCGATAAGGTGGGCGTGGCTTTGGAAAATTCGATTTTTTTGCAACCGCTTTTCGTCGAAAAAGCACTCTGTTCAAAAGCCTTATCGACAAAAATCGTTGAATTTTTACTTTTTGCAAGTAGTTTTGCCGCCATTTGAGTGTCGTAATCGATTACGCACCTCCCATCTAACCATCGTAACCTATTGTCGTCCGGGGATTTGGGTCTCCTAATGGAATGCCTGCCCCGATTAACGTGGCGTAGTCGATGAAGCCCGCAATTTGGGTGTCGTAATCGGCTACGAATCTCCAATTTAAGTATCGTAAACGATTGCCGAGCCGGGATTTAACCATCGTCACCGATTCAACGAGTCACCGCCAATATAATGGCGTAATCGATTGAATTCGCACCCCAAATGGTTCTATACCGGTAACGGGGTCCTTAAAAAAAATAAGGGTCCTTAAAAAAAATAAGGGTCCTTAAGAAAAATAAGGGTCCTTAATAAAAATAAGGGTCCTTAAAAAAATAAGGGTCCTTAGAATTTCAGGTTAAGGACCCCTGTCCCGACAGGGGTCCTTAAAATAGATGCTATTTTTAAGGACCCCGATTCCGGCAACTCCCGAAAATACAGTATTTTCGCCGATTTTGCACAGATTGTGCCTCGGTTAGCTATTTAAATTACGTGACTCTCTTACACATAGTTTGTGCCTAAAAATAAGGCTTCGTGCCACCCGGGGCCTAGTCGCTTCGGATGGGCGCGAGCTCGTACAGGGTTTCGAAATCGGGGCGCCCGAGGAGCGCGAAGCGCCCAGGCGCCCCGATTTCGGAAGAGTGGAGCGGCAGCCCATCCGAAGCGACGGCCCGCCTTGCCTGACACGCCATAAGCCTGAAATCGTGCTCATCCCCACAGAAATTTCCAGGCAACCCGACGTGCTAGGTTTTTTAGCCAGGGACAATTTGACGCTTATGGTGTGTCAGGCAAGGCGGGCCGTCGCTTCGGATGGGCTGCCGCTCCACTCTTCCGAAATCGGGGCGCCCCCGGCCGCTTCGCCGGCCTTGGCGCCCCCATTTCGAAACCCTGTACGAGCTCGCACCCATCCGAAGCGACTAGGCCCCAGGTGGCACGAAGCCTTATTTTTAGGCACAAACTGGGGGTAATTCAAAATGCGAAACAAAGGACAATCTGTCGCGAATCCGCGTCTCCGCGAAAACGGCGAAAATACTGTATTTTCGGGAGTTGCCGGAACCGGGGTCCTTAAAAATAGCATCTATTTTAGGGACCCCTGTCGGGACAGGGGTCCTTAACCTGAAATTCTAAGGACCCTTATTTTTATTAAGGACCCTTATTTTTTTTAAGGACCCTTATTTTTTTTAAGGACCCTTATTTTTTTTAAGGACCCCGTTACCGGTATAGAGCCCCCCAAATACCTACCGTAATCGATTGCAGATCTCCCCGATCGCCGTCCACCTGTTTCTGGCCCTCGGCGTGGCTGCCTATACTCTATTTGGTGCCGTCGTCATGCAATGGCTCGAGACACCACCGTATCCATACGATTTTTTTGCGTAAAATTTCGCTTTTTAGCGAGAAAATACTCAAGAAGAATGAGACGGCAATGCCGAAACGGGCCGTCGAGCACTGTACGTTGTTTTGCGTACTTTTTAGGGGTTTTTACGTTTTCCACGCGATTTTTCTACCCTTTTGCAGTCCCGTACACGGCCACTCGCGTCTTCCTCGGCACCGAAATTGGGGAATTTGATCCGGAGGTCTGTTTGGGAAGGGCTGAAACTATCGGGTATTGGCCGGAAAACCGCCAGAATCAATACCGGAAACGAGCCAAACCCGTAAACTGAAAAAAAACGCGCCTCGCCTGAAATTGTGGAAGCGTTGCAGGTTCACCTGTGCGTGGAGAGGGAAGTGAAGCGATTGCTGACGAAACCTCGATGTCTCCACCTCGATCATGTCTCCATCCATGATATCGATCTGTGCTACCGGGCACGTAAAATTCACCATTTTGCTTATGAGCATCTCCACTTCAATTAAAGGGAAGCTAAGGCCCGAAAAGCAATTTTTGGGCATGGGTTCCCTACGTTTTTTGCCGGGCCGCGACACGCAACGCGCACCCCGGTCACAAACCGTGACGCCGGGAAGTCGACCATAACGCGCGCGGCGTGTCGCGCCCATCCTACCAGTCGATAAAAATCCTTGAAGAGAATCTGCTCTTAGTTTTCCCTCCTTTGCGGCGTGGGGCGCCCCTCAAAAAGTTCCACCCTTTTTCCGAAAAAAGTTGCTGAACCTGCCCTTTAAGGCGCCATTTTTATGCGCATTTCAGTTTGCCAACTTCTCTGCCGGCTTCAACCGCCGCAACAAGATCCCGGCCCCTCGAAAAACGAAGCAACGTAAGCCGAAAAATTCAATTTTTTTTACGCGCGGCAACTTCAGAAGTGATCGACGAAGAGACGGCGGATATTGTGAATCGATGGAGCTTCGAGAATGCCATCATTTTTGCCTTTACCGTCATCACGACCATTGGTGCGTCATTTGGAGAGAAGGGGAGGGCAAACTAGCAGGGGTTCTTTGCGGAATTGCCGCTTACATGCGCACATTTTTAGGGTACGGCCACGTGGCCCCGGTGACATTCTGGGGGCGAGTGTTTTGTATCGTTTATGGCGTGATTGGCGTGCCATTGACATTATTGACGATTGCTGATATGGGAATGTTTATTTCGAAGATATTGGCACAGGTCAGAGAGAGAGAGTGAGAGAGAGAGGGGAGGGAGAGAGAGAGGGAGAGATGAGGAGGGAGAGAGAGTAAGAGAGAAAGAGAGAGAGAGAGAGAGAGAAAAAGAGAGAGAGAGAGAGAGAGAGAGAGAGAGAGAGAGAGTAGGAGAGAAAGGGAGAGAGAGAGAGAGAGAGAGAGAGAGAGAGAGCGGGAGAGTGAGCGAGTTAGAGAGAGAGACAGCGAGGGCGAGAGATAGTGAGTGAGTGAGAGAGAGAACGAGAGCGAGAGAGAGCGTGAAACAAAGAGAGAGAGGGAGTGTGAGAGAGAGAGTGACAAAGATTTTCAGACGACCCAGCTGATACGATCAATGCCAAAATGGGCCAAGGCAGCCTGGCAATTATTACGCCGTAAGGCAAAGGTACGTTTTAACGGGACCTGCAAGCGCCTAGAATCGACCCCTTAACATCGACTAGGTCTCGACAACTCCGCGACACTCCAAATAGCCCCTCCAGCCTATAAAAACGGCAACCCGGCGCCATTGGCCCTGTCGCGTAGCTGTCGAGACCTAGTGGATTCTAGGGGTCGATTTTCGGGGTGGATAGTTCTTTAAAGGGACGGTGACAGGGGAGTGAATTGATCACTATTCAGAGCACCTCTTCCCCGAAACAAAAAGAGAATGGACTGCTCGAGCAGGAGGCCGTAGAGGGAGAGGATGAAGATGAACCACCGCCGGAAGCCGAGGGGCAACGGTACGTAAAAAAATTCAGATGCTTCTTGATCTACCGTATACCCTAAATTGCAAAAATGTTTGTTGGTTACACTTTCCAAGTTTAGATTTTTCTTACCTTTAAAATAACCGCAAAAAATACAGGTAGAAACGTCATATTTTTCCAAAAAAATTGTAATTAGAATTTGAACGTTAGACAAAAAAAAAATACGATTTTGAAGCAATCACCCGGCTATAAAAAATTAAGTCCAGGCGCTTTCGCATTATCGGGGGGGGGGGCGAATTTTTTTGAATAAAGCAAAAATGTCCAGTAACTTAATCGGAAGAGTTTTAATAGTATTTTTGGTTAAACTCAATTAGCAAACCCTGTCAAAAACGGCCATTTTGGTCGAAAAATCAATATTTTTTTGTATTTTTGAGGAAAATTTGTAACGTTTTTACGTTTAGAAGTAGTAAAACTATTCAGGATTTAAAAATTGAATATTGGGATCCCAAGAAAAAGGGTTTCCTCCCCCCGGTAACTGGAAGGAACCCAATTCCTCTTTTTTAGGCGCTCCGATGAGTCAATACTGCTTGGACTCCTCTTTTTCGGGTATCTAATGTTGGGAGCAAAGGTTTGTAAAAATGCTGGCAGTCTAAATTCTATTTTCTCAAAAGGTGCTCTCCTCCTACGAGCCGGATATGGCCTATTTCGAGGCATTCTACTTCAATTTCGTCACCCTGACCACCATTGGGTTAGGGGATTTTGTCCCCAAAAGGTATCGCATTTTTTTTTGCTGGATTAAATGCCACTAATCTTTTTAGCTACGATTACCTGTTCGTGACGTTGTGCTATATTGGGATCGGGTTGGCGCTGACGACAATGTCAGGTTTGTGGTTTCCCGAGCTAGAGGCGCTGAGAAATGCCAAAAAAAGGGGTTACGACGTGTAATGGGAGCCCTGAACGTCGGAGGTTTTTGACATAAAAAACTCCTAAAAATTCACAAAATTTTCGACATTTTTTGAGTTTTTGGTCTGGAAAAATGGCCGAAAAAGAGTCTAAATGTTCCAATTCTCGCAATCGCTAAATTCGCGCGTGCGGGGAGTGAACCCCCTGGTCAAAAAACGCAAGGTTTACTGCCGAGAACTACCAGAAAAGTTCTTTATTGCGAAAAAAACAACACATAAAATGTTAGAACAAAACCGAAAAGTTCTTGGATCGAAAACGCCTTTTTGAGTGGGCGGCGATTACATGTCGTAATGCGTTGTAAGGCACTCCGAGTAGAGTTGTTATCTGGGATCCGGGTCTGGGTACCCGGTTGCGAACGGGTAGTTGGTGCGAGCGGGTCCAACCGGGTACCCGGTCCAGCGGGTAATTGGCCGGGTAATAAGGGTTTTACATAGCCCGAATCACCGTTTCCCCTCCAAAACCCAAGTAACCCGGTCGACCGGGTATTCGCCCGGTTCAAACGGGTACCCGGATCCGGGCGCCAGATAACAACTCTAACTCCGAGGCACTCGATCTCCGTGATTCTCTGGTCAATTTTCATAATTAACAGTCTAGCATGATCAAAATTCGAGAAGGATTCCAGAAATAACTCCAGAATTTTCAATTCAACCGTTTTCACGTCCAAACCGGGGCAAAAGATCATGCGGCGCGCTCGCATCTGGCTATCTCCCAAAAAACAACGTAGGGGGCCGTGGACCAGCTTTTGAGCCCCTTTAACTTTAAGTTTCTAAAGATGCCACAATTTTTCAGGAAATCTCTGGCAAGATCAAGTGCATTAGCCGGGGGGAGGGGTTGCAAAGAAATCAGGAAATGGGGGAAACACAAAAAATTTCAGTCGAAATCGCGGCCGACACCCTCAAGAAGCTGCACCATTTCGGGCGAAAGGTGGAGAACGTCGCGCAGACGATGGTCTGGTTTGGAGGCAAAAAGTGGGTTTAACAAAAATAGGCTACAAAGCCACAAAAAATAATTTGAAAATTAAAATTAAAAAAATTAATTATTTTTTAAAAAAAGGGATAAAGGAAAAATTTTTCCTTTACCTATCTTTCAAATTTTGAATTTTATGGTGTTTTGGCAGATTTTTATTGCTAGAAAATTATCAAAAATTCGAAATTTGACTTTTCTGGGTAAATTTTCTTACGTTTCGACCAAAAAGGCAACATTTTTCGGAAATTTTCTGATTTTTTGCGAGCCTTTTATCTCTAAAATTGTATAAAATGCCAAAAAGGGTATTATCTCGCTATAGGGCCGTATGTACCGGGAACAACCCCCTGCTAACAGTCCGAGTACCAACAAAACGATAGTCGAGACGTTAAAAAATAGTCAAATCAGCAAAAAAACGTGAAAAATTGTCGATAAATCTTTATTTCTCGGTGCCAAAATATTTTGAATTAGAATGACGATGAAGGCGCTGGTGAAACACCTGGGCGATCAGCTGAACATCCCCGAGGACGAGCTGGCCAAGTTCGACTTTGACGAATTTGTGGGGAATGCGGTGAAGGTGGAGGCGGGCGAGATGGAGACGCTCAGGGTTCGCTTACAAACACTTTCCAAACAAATTTGTCGATTTTTAGGAAGTTTTGCAGTGATTTTTTGACCTTTAGAAGCCGTCACTTTCGGGAGATGGAGTCCGATTCCGCGACAGAACCCTCTCTTACACCCAACTGCGCCATTCGGACGAGTCGGAGGCCCTGAAATACGCCGACGAACGGACACAACGATACGGAAAAGGTAAGCCAGCGTCAAAACACCGGCATTCAGATGGCGTAAAACGTTACAAATTTGTTTTAAAACACAAAAAATATCGAATTTGTGACTAAAATGGTCGATTTTTGGAAAAATTTCGGCGTTAAATTTTTTTGATAATTTCCGCTAGCTGGAAAATAGTTATATTTGACCAAAAACACCAATAAAAGGCTTCCTATTGAATTACTAGGCATTTCCGGACTCCGTAGGAAAAAATTGCCCTTCCCCCGATAATGCCAAAGAACCAACAGAAATTCAGATGGCGTCCTGCTGGCCCAAGAAACGGGGCGTACGGTGACTTCCGACGAGCTGCGGCAGCCCGTGGAGGTGTGGATAGGAATCGTGTGGTTGGATGGCATCTACCCCGGCTCTCCCTCCATCCATCAATTCAATCGTTCGATTCCTCATGAACCGTACGATTTCCCCGTCACATACCCTCCGAACCGCCCGATACCGCACAATAAAGTATTTTATTAAACCCAAAGCCGAGAAAATTGTTAATAAAAAATCGCACAAACGGAAAAAAATAGGATGTCCTATAAAAAACCGCTCGGCATTTGGCGGATTTCCATCTGATCCTACTATCCTACCATATATAAAAAAATAGTTTCCATGTGTGTGTGTATGTATGTGTGCATTTGCATGCAACTTCCGTCAGCGTGTTCCAGTAGTATCTCAATAGCACGGCATTCCACAGAGGCACGGACAGGCACGTTTGATACGTCATTAGATGCGTAATGGTCTAGGGATGATTGCACACATATCATATTTTTGAAAAATAAACTGCTTTCTGACATTGAAATTTAGTTTCAGGGAAAATGGGCACCCTCTTTGTTAGGAAACGATTAGCATGCGCCGGAAGTGGCGGAAGCCTATATAACGGAGAGAGGCAGCCTTTTTTCACTATTTCTGATCACAATTCAGGCGAATTATGCAAAGTGCAGAATTTCATGGTTTTGGGATGGGACCAGGCTTGAAAAGTCGCGAAGCGGCTTTTCAACCCTGGTTGTGGTTAATTTTTGACGAGGACCAAAAAAAAACTATGTGCAACCGAATTTTCAGCCCAAAATATTGTAAAACCAAAAAATGGTCGCTAAATTCAGGTTTATTTTCCCGATTTCGCCGAGATTTTGACGGATTACAACCTCGGAAAATTAAAAAACAGCTCGTTTATTTCTACCTGATAAACTGTTTTTACTTATCAAGTTATCGTTTAAATCGTCGATTCCTGGCAATTAGGGAAAGAGCCGCGTCTTCGTTAGCCCCGGGTTGGACCTGCAAATGCTCGAATTTGCGAATTTGTGACACGATTTCTGGAAACTTCACTTATTTTTAGTAATCTTAATAATTCCGGCAGTTTTAATTATTAAAATTTGACGGGGTTTACCGAGACCGGGACTACGCGGGGCTCCGCTGAGTCCTTCTTGCGTGGATAGGAGCGGTTCGTTGCCCATTCGTGCCTGGCATGTTCTCTTTTTTGGAAGTTTTCAGTAATTTTTGGGAAGTGTTTTAAACGGTTTTTTGCTAGTCCGAAACGTAAAAACTTTACACTTTTTATTAAAAAAATACAAAAAAATCTAGATTTTTCGACCAATAAATCGATTTTATCAATTTACTGCTTTCTAACGCTCGTTTTTCTGCCTTTTTATCCATTTTCACGAGTTTCCAGGTCCCGTAAGCCATCTACCATCGTTTTCCGCAACACCCCTATGCCCATTTGGACGACGCCACGATGCGGCCACCGGTGACCAGGGCCATTTTACCCCAAACTGCACGAGGGCCCCAATCGCCGAGCTGTCGAAGGCAGATGACGTTGAGCAAGGCGGAATGTGAAGAGATCCAGGTAAGAGGAAAACCTTTCTAAAAATGGAGTTTTTCTTTAGGATAACGAGACGATAGCGCTGGAATCGATCTACGGCGACGACGTGCAAATCGTGAAAGGCGCCTGGAAGGTGAGGATTTGCAGAATGTGAAGCAAAAACCGGTTTCCAAAAGTTTCCGAGCAACCCTAATTTACTTTTGCGTGAAATTCGGGTTTTTTTAACGGCCGCAAAAACCCTATTTCTTCAAATTTCGCCAATCTGTGGGAGATGACAGCCTGTTTATAACGCCCCTACAGCGCCTAAAAAGTCTAGAAATGTCTAGGAAGTTAATAGCAAGTCTTTTATTTGTGTTTTTAGTAAAAAATAACTATATTTGGACTAGAAAAACTATCTGAAAAGTTTGAAAAAGTCGAAATTGGTCAGAGATAGGCCACTTTTGGTCGAAAATCGATATTTTTGACATTTTCTAATAACATTTTGTAAAGTTTTTACGTTAAAGAATGGTAAAAAACCATTTAGAAACACTGCCACTTTTGAGATTGGAAAATAAAATTAGTTGAAACGGCCGCTGGAAGGGATGAATGGTTAAAAAATCGTGATGAGGCGCTAGAGATTAAAATATTAATAGACTATCCTAATTTTTAGGTATGGCACCCGCTGGAGGCGATCGTCGCCCTTGGCCCCTCGCAAAGTGACAGCCGCCACGGTGATGATGGAATGGCTGCCGTCCGTGTTCATCTACACATCTGCTGCCCGCCCGCATATCCCAACGAGTGCGTAAATTGGGCATCGACATTGAATTTGGCTTTTTATTGGCGTAAATTCGGAAGTTCGGAGGGTTTACGTGACAAATCAACGAAAAAATTCAGGGTGTCCCAAAAAACAACTTTCTAGTGGTCCGCAGACATGTCCAATTTTGGCGATTTCGGTATCCATCGAAAGCGCTCGTCGAGCTGAGCATATTTGTTATCGACGATTTTCGAAATTCCCGCTTTGCCTGACATTTACTACGATCGTTGAGGAAGCACCGAATTTTTGTTGCCTTTCCCAAGCACAGGGTTTTTAAAAAACCAAAATTTTCAAATTTTTACGCCTTTCCTGGTAGTGCGAGAACCGCTTTTTAAAAGCCATTTGAGAACGCACAGCTTGGACGGGGCGGACGCCGATTAAAATTGCGTTTTTGGAGAAAATATGTGACTTTTGCATAAGAAATGAGGAAAATGGAGCTAAAGATGCGAAAATTTCAAAAATCGAAGATAATTGATCTGCTCAGCTCGTCGAGCGCTTTCGATAAATACCTATATGGTTAAAATCGGACGTTACTGCGGACCGCTAGAGGCGAGTATTTTTTTTGAGACACGTTGTAATGTCTTTCTTTGATTTTCAACACTTTCCGTTTTTGAAAATTTTGTCGACTAGAACCGGCCTGCTCGGCGTTTTTGCCGAGTTTTTCAGGCTTTTCCGCATCACGCTATGCCATTTTTTGAGCTTTTTGCCGCGAAAAATATGCATTCGATTTCAGCCCGCCGACGCTGACGCTGGAAAAGCCACAGGGCATCGGCCACGGCGACCAGGAGCGGCTGCTCCAAGAATTGGCCGCTCATGCCAACGAAAATCGAGGCGAGGTGGGGCGATTCCTTCAAAAAAATTACTTTTCTCGCTCAGCCGATGCTGATGCAACTGTGCGAGGTTGTCCGCTCGTTTCTCTACGCCAATTTCCACCCCCGCCAATCGTTACACCAGGGAATGGCCGAGGGGCAAGCCGAGAAGGCCCGGGAAGTCCAGGTTGGTTTCCGGTTCCGGTTTTTACGAAACGGAAGCGTTTCTTAAGTTATGTTTATTATTCCTAATCGCAAAAACTTTATACAGTTTGATTAAAAAATCTAAAAAATAGCGATTTTTCGACTAAGACGGCCGTTTTTGCCGAAATCTCAACTTTTAGAAGGATTTTTATATATAAATATAGAAATAGCGTTTCCAAACAGTTTTTTTAATATTCCTAAACGTAAAAACGTTACACAGTTCGATCAAAAATACAAAAATAGCGATTTTTTCCAAAAAAATGACCGTTCTTTACCTAAATTTCAACGTTTTGAAAGTTTTTCTATAAAAGATCGTCTTATTTTGCAAAAAAGGATTATGAAAATGCCTCCTATTAATTTTTCTATCTTGATACCCCAATTTTTTAGCGGCAACGCGTCTCGTCCGAGCAACGCGAATGGGAAAAAGCGGCCGAGGAAGAGGAGCGGCGACGGCTCGAAGCGGAATGGAAAAGGGAAGAAGCGCGAGAACGCATGCGACACGACTCCATTAATACTGTTGGTTTTTCGGATTTTTTTGAAGCTAAATACAGTAAGAACCGTCCAATTCCTGGTTCAAAAGCTTTTTAGGACCAAGAATTCCGCCAGATCGGCCCCCACTCGATCCGCGTCGTCGACCCATCCCCACCCGGCCACAGCCGAAAAATGAATCCCCAATGCGTCGAGTGGACGGGATTGTATAAGGTTTTTCGAGTTGAATTTCTAATTGCATTTTTAGGGTCAAACGGTGCTCGTCTCTCAGTGGAATTTCGACTTCAACCTCGGCCGCCGGGACAACAGGAAGAAGATGCCCGATTTTGGGACGTTTTTGGGTGAGGATTTGGTTGTTAGAAGTTACGAAAATGTTTTGAAATTTTTGAAAACTCGAAAATTTGACTTTTTCTTATGCCTTTTTTCATCCATTTTTGCCAATTTTTATTTCAAACTTTGTGAAATGCTATAAAAAGCGTCAATATTTCGCTAGCATTTCGAACTTTTTTTAAGGATGAGATTTTTTCAGAGTTTTAAACCGGATCGAATGGGCGATTTCGGATAGAAAATAATACAAAATTCTACTAGTTAAACCTAAATCTATAAACTTTATATTTTTAATTTTGCAAAAACCCTGGAAAAACGCGGAAAAATGACCCCTTGTTGGTTGTCGAGATTTGCAACCATATCCGGTGGACATCTGTCCTTTTCCAGCCCAGCTCGCCGAGGTGGAAAAGACGTGCTCGGTGCTGCCGGACACGGTCGACGTCGACTCGTCCGCCGTCCCGTACGCCTTCGTGCTCGTCGAGCGGCTCGCCGTCAAGGACACCAATTTTCACGTGAGCCATATTTGAAGCCTGTTGAAAAAGGCGCTTTTAATTTGAAATCTTTGAAAAATGAAAAAATTGTGTTTTTTTTAATTGCTATAATTTTATGGCATTGGGCCCAGATCTAAAAAGTATCGTTAGATATAAAAAGCCGAAAAACATTCCGTGGAAAAATCGCATTTTATTCACTTATTTATGAAAAATGAATCGAAAAAATTTACAAAAATAAAATTACGCATTTTTCGAGATGTAGTAACTGTTTCTAAGCGCAAACTACGAAAAATAAAACCAACGATGGCCGATCACCAAGTATCACTAGAAAGGTACAACCTTAGCCCCCTCCTGATCAAACGGAAGCATCTAATTTTTAATTTTTCAATTGTTTAAAGGGGCTACGAAAGCCAAAAATTGAGGACAGCCCGAAAATCTGAACCCTGTACGTGGGAGGCCTCTGTACACCCAGGGGCCTGGAAGCTGCAAACTTGAAATAGCCTGTTGTCATCTCGAAATCACGTTCCCGGCTGCTGGGCCAAATTTCATGATTAAACACCAAAACTATTTCAAATTGAGTGAGGATTTCAAAATGGGCTCAGAATGCGCGAATTATAGTGTTTTCACAAAGAAACCGGGCAGAAACGACTTCGCGCAAATCGAAGAGTGAGGGCTCTGGTCCCGCAGCGCCCGCTGGCATTGCCAGAAATCAAAGAGCCCTCCCAAAGGGCTTTGATTTGGCAGTTCGGAGCCCCTTTAATAATTAAAAACAAGCATAATTTTTAATTTTCAGGTTCGCATCTCCTACGCTCAAAACATTGCCCCTCGTCGACTCGAATCTCGAGGCGCTGGCCGAGAAGCTCGTCCACGATGTACGTTTCCTATTTTTTTCGCCTGATTCCAATGCTTTCCTTTAGACAGGAGCCCTCCGTCGTCTAGCGACCTCTTGTGTCTGCGGGCTGAGGTGGCTGCACGAGCAGCAAATCGCCCACGCATCCATCGGTAGGCCATCGGCGCTGTTCGGAAATTCTGATCCGTTCAGCCCCTTCATCGCTGTGGACCGACGACTGCACGGCGTTCCGGCTGAGCGACTGGAAAATCGGGTAAGAAATTGGTTTCGAAGTGAGAAACGTGGAAAACGATGTAGATTTTTCGAAAAATCACGTTTTGCGGGTGCGGAGAGGCTTGTGGGGTATATTTTGTAACTTTTAGTTTACAGTCTAGACTCTAGACTACCAAAACGAATTTTCCGCGAAATAGTGGCACTGGGATAAAAAATCCGCATCTTCTTTGTATTTTTTTAGACATACAGAAAGCCCGATTTGTAGTTTGTAGTCTAGCAAAAAATACCCCGATTCTTTTTGTAAGGATTCTCGACCAGGGCTGAAAAATCCCGCATTTCGGCAATTTTCGGGGTTTCATAGTTTGTAGTCTGGCATATGAAAAGCCCGATTTTCGGACTTTTGTGGTTTGCAGTCTACAAACTACCAACTATTTAAATCACAAAGACCACAGATTTTGGAAAACATTTTGATTTTCGTCCAAAATTGTAGGAGAAATAGCCAAAAAGGTCATAAATTTTCAAGATTTCAGGGTTTTTAAAGGTTTTTTCAATTCCCGAAATTCTCGAAATATATCTGATGTTTCAGACGGTGCCTCGCCCAGCTGGCCGACACGTTCAGCGCGACCATCGAGGGCCGTCCGCTCGCCGATCCAACGGCCGCCAAAATCGAGCCAAAAGCCCTGAAGAAACGCGATCTGTTTGCGCTTGGTTGGTGTCCAAAACACAATTCCGTAACACGCCATTTTACAGGCCGTCTGCTGGACAGTTTGGGGACGGGGCCATCCGGCGACGCGTCATCCATCGGCCACTCCCTGCTGCAGTCCTTTGTTGCGGCATGCCAGGCTGCCAAATCCGTCTACGAGCTCGCCGACCACGCATATCTCTCCGCCGGTTCCTTTTTGTGCTATCCGGATCTTTTGAAAGGCGTCAGATGGGAATGCAACGTGCTTTTGCATTATCGGGGGGGATCTATAAATTCCAAGTAACGTAATATGTTTTTCGAAGATTTTAGCTATATTTCAAGTGGCAAAATAACCAAAAAAATTTGGAGATTTTTTAAGTTAAATTTCTGGTCGAAAATCAATCATTTTTGACGAAAAATTTATAATTTTTTTGTTTTTTTATACAAGTTTTGTAAATTCTTTTTGCTTAGGATGAGCGAAAAAGTTTAGAAACACTTTGTCTATCGATATTAGACAAATTGGAGCCTTGCAATTGTTAGAATGGAGCTGCTCCCCCGATAATGTAAAAGAACCCTCGGTTTTTAGTTGCATTTTTGATAGATATCAATTTCAATTAGATCTTTTAAAACCCATTTTAGTCTAAAAAATGTTGAAAATTTGCAAATTTTGGATCGAAAATTCGTTTTTTTGGTATCTTTTGCTCTAGATTTTAGTAAAAAAATAGAAAACAGGAAAAACTGCGATAAACACACTATTTATATCACGAAAATTGGATCCTTAGGAAAATGCCCCCCCGATAATGCCAAAGAACCACTTCAAAAATTCCCAAAAAATCCGGAAGCGGGGCAATTGGTACGCGATGAATTTGAGGCATTTCCAGATGCGCTTCCGCCAATGACGGATGGTAGTTGCTCGAGCCTCGGGCTGAAGGCGGTCACCGGTGCATCGACAAGACTCGGCCGCGACTTCTTCCTCATCAAAAGTCTCGGCAAAGGCGCCTTCGGTGAGGTGTTGCTGGCCCGCAATCGACTCGACCTCGTTCACTATGCTGTCAAGGTATACTTTTCACGGTGCTTGTGCATTATCGGGGGAGCGTTTTAATTTGTTGCCATTTCTACGCTTTTGAATTCCTAAACTTCAAAAGTTTCGAAATTTTCAAAAAAACACCGATTTTTCGACGGAAAATTCAGGTTTCTTGATTTTCCAAGGTTTAGATAATTTTTAAACGGTTTTTATGTCTGACGTAAAACTATGTAAATGTGAAAACAGTCGAAATTTTGCGCAAAAAAAGGGCATTCATGGTCGAAAAATCTATATTTTTTGTATATTTTAATAAAAATTTGTAAGTTTTTTACGTTCCGCTATTTAAATTTCGAAAATTGTCTGTCCCCCCGATAAGGTGAAAGCACTCATTTTCCCGCTAACCTGCCACTCCACTTTTCAGCTGATCACGCTCGACCCGCGGAACGAGCGTTTCAACCGCAAGATGACGCGCGAGGCCAAGCTGTTCGCCAAGCTCAACCACCCGCATGTCGTCCGATATTATAAGTGGGTTTCACGTTTTCATTTAATTTATTTGTTGTGTTTAGCGCGTGGATCGACAGCGCACCGCAGACGAAGGCCAGCCCTGCGGCGGCGATCGCTGCCAAGACGCCGAAAGGGCCGATGAAAAGCTGCAAATCGACGCGGCCGATGGTGGTAAGCGGTTTCGCTCGGAATTTTTGGTTCTTCGTCTTATCGGGGGAGGTAATATCCCTAAACATCAAAAATTTAATTTTGACCGAAAATACGAACAATAGCGATTTTTCCACCAAAAATTTCGAATTTCAGATTTCGACTTCTTTAGGTGTTTATCACTTGAAATCCGGGTGAATTCTTTATTAAGAGATTTATGATAATATGATACTAAGAGATTTATGCGAGATTTTTATTTCAGGAAAACGTGCTGAACTTTTAATTTCGAATTTTAGTTGGTCAAGCTTTTTTGTAAGTTTAGTCTTAATTTAATTATATTTATATTTAATTTAATACATATTTAATTTGATTTTAAATTTAAATAAAAACAAGGTATGAAAATGAAACCAATCGTCCAAAAATCACATATGGCGTAAAACTCCCCCCCAGTGTTGCGGGGAAGGCTGGCTTGGCCGTGGGGCGGCGGCGCTGGTCCCAAAAATGGCCCTAGGCGCTGGTCCTAGGGTTAGTTACAAATCAAGATTTTTCTTCAGTTTCGGATATACATGATGGCAAAAAAGCAGGTTTATCGATATATGTTATCTGCGATGTATGGGGGTCTGAATAACTATTTCTAAGAAATTCCACTATTTAAATCATAGTAACGATACGACACCAAGAAAAATGATGCACGAAAATTTCTGGCGAAGTCGGCAAAGGAGTAAAGTATGATCGGTCGCGGTGGGTATGGACGTGACAAACGCTCGTTACGGGTGAACGGCTTGGACCAAGCTGGCAATTAGATGAGCATTACACATTTCCCGGATCAAGGTTTGGGTAAAATTTGGTCAAGATCGGCCAGTGGAATGCGGAGAAATAATTTTTTATCGGCCCCCATCCCGGTGTGCACGCTGATGAATCCCTTGAAAATGCTCTAACTACCCCGTCCTTGGCGTTAGCGGTTTGAAATTTGTTTTCAGGCTGTGGTCTAGGGTTTGCCCAACTACTGCCAAAAAAGCAAAAGCATGCTTCCAGTTTAAAACCCTTTCCTCGGACCAGCGCCGCTCACCTCCGGAATCAAGCCTTCATTTGGCCGCGCCCTTCACTTCTGGTCCCCGTTGGTCCCTCGAAAAGGGCAATCAATCACCACCAAACTTGTGCTTGCCGAATAGCCTCTGGTACTGGCTATCATCTGACAAAACCATTTTAGCCCATACTTGCTTCCCGCTCAGGCTTCATCGACCAGCGACTGGGCGTTTTAATTTTGGCCGGGGATCGGTAGATGTTCCGTTTTCCTTTACGCCCTCCTAATTTTCCCACTTAGAACTTGAGTCGGCTGGAAAGCCCGGTCTTTTCCTCTTCTAACTATGTATCAACCGTTCTGATCCATTACGTTATTCTGAGCGGAGGATCGGCGCTTAATTGACGCGGCGGTTTTGGCCATCTTTACATGGGAAAATCCATTCAATTGCATGCAATTCTCTACTCCACTGGCCGGTCCATCTCTACTTTTTTCCCTAAACGAGTTCCTAGTTTTCTCTTCCCCTCATCCAAGTTTCAGCTTCATCCAACCTTTTGAAGGGCTTTTTCGGGACCAGCGCCGTCTCTTCTGGGGCCGTCGTGGCATTGCAAATTTCTTTCCTGTGGCGATTTCTGCCCAAATTTTCATGAGCAATTTTTCGTACTGTGAAAGAAAGATGAAAGAACTGTAAGCAGCGCAACAACATCAAATTACAGAAAATCCAGGAAGCCGACATTTATTTTCGCTATTTTTTGATATTGACCCAAAAGCCACTAAAATTCTTACCGCTAACGCGGCGCTGGTCCTAACCCCGTCAGCCAACCCCCGGCGCTGGTCCATTTGGCCACCTGAAAATTCTTTCGCACACTGCCCCCCGCTAATAGTACAGTCCATTTTTTTGCAGATTCACTGATGCCATCCCAGTTGCGCCATCTGAAAGTGTCGCCCAGAGAAGGACGTTGGGGAGACGAGCGAGTGGAGTGCCGAATGGACGGCCTCCTTTCGGGGTATACTATAGCGATTTTGTATTTTAAAATTTGACCCGTCAGAAAAGCGAGGAATCTGACGACAGCTCGACGCCTCGTCGTCCTCATCACTCCTCAAATCTGGCTTGCTTCTTTGCTGATGGGGAGGGATCCCCACTGGAGGCTGGTCCAGGGAGCACGAGTGTACGGTAGAGAGGGACAGCTAACGAGTGACGACATCAAGTTGTGTTCGAGGCTACCGATGAGCCGAAGGCCGGCCGACAGCCCGCATACGGTAAGGATGATGTGGGTTCTGAACTATTAGCGGGGGGGGGGCATTTTTTATTTTCCCGCCTATTTTTATCGTGTTTTAGTAGTTTTTGATTGTTAGAAAGGTATAAAAATATTTTAAAAATTTTTGAAAACTTACCTTTTTTCGAATTTTTCTACATTTTCGACCAAAAATTTCGATAATTTTTATGTTTTTTGTATTTTTTTATATAGAAAAACCTGGTAAAATGCTATTAAGATATTTTATATTTCGTTCGGGGGTCGTAGATAATTACTGGGAAAAATTTCGGCCCCGCTAACAGTGATCCAGAACCAAGTTTGTATCGGTTTTTTATTTTTCTACATTTTCAAAATTAAATAGCGATTTTAGCCCCGCTTTCCGACCGATTACGCTATGAAATCAATTTTCTCCGAACTACAGGGTGTCCCAAAAAACCCCCCCCCCCCCCTCTAGCGGCGCCCAGACGTGTCCGATTCTCGCCGTTTGGGTATCTATCGAAAGCTCTCGAAAAGGCGAGAAAACAAGGAGGGTTCATTTTCTTTATTATGTATTTTTATTGGCGAATTTTACCTCCAAAAACCATGAAAACGGCAGATTTACGCGAGATCTGCATGCTAATTGCGAAATTCCTATTGAAAAGCTGCCTGTTTTTTAGAAAAACGTTGAATATCGGACGAATAAGAATAAATCTTAGAAAATGAAGCCCGCTTGTTTTCTCGCCTTTTCGCGGGCTCTCGAATATTATAAAATCATCCTGATCTGAGCTTCCCCCGGACCGCTAGAGGGGGGGGGGGTTTTTTTGGGACACCCTGTATTATGTTTCAGCTTTTCTGCAAAGCCAGAAAATTATCGCCTTTTCTCAGCCGCTTACGCCATCAAATTAATTGGGCCTGTTTTACGTTTTTCGGGTTTTCTGCTTACCTAAAAATTATCTCATTTACGTCATCAATTTTCGCCAAATTTGTATTTTTTTAGACGTAGAAAAGTACGCTCAGACTTTCAATCGTTTACGCCATGAAATTAATTTTTTGTATCAAATATTATTGGAATTAATTTTTTGCTTGTATAAAAATTATCTCATTTTACATCCGATTACGCCCTCAAATTTGGGGATTTTTGGGCGAAGGAAGCGGACTTGCTTTTCAACCGATTACGCCATAAAATTAATTTTCTGTTATTCCAGGAGATGACGTCTCGACGCCACCCAGCACCGAGAAAGACACATGGGACACTGCCTCACGCCGTTCCCCGTCCAAAGGAAAGGTGCGTAGCCCTGGGGGGTACGGTATCAGAATTGTCGTTTTTTTAGAAAGAAGCCGACGCCACGCTGCCCACCCGGATCATGTACATTCAGATGGAGTATTGTGTCAAGGGCACGTTGAGGTATGCGCAATTTGATGGCGTAAGCGATTCCAGGCGCGCCAGCCGGTAGAGACAAGGTTCTTTTGCAATATCGGGGGAGGGCTATTTTGATGCGGATTCAATTTTCGGTTCTTTTGCAATATCGGGGGGAGGCTATGTTGATGAGGATTCAATTTTCGGTTCTTTTCCATTATCGGGGGGGGCTATTTTGATGAGGATTCAATTTTCGATTCTTTTGCATTATCGGGGGCTATTTTGATGAGGATTTAATTTTCGGTTCTTTTGCATTATCGGGGGGAGACGATTTTTTGTATTAAACTACGCATGCCTAGTATCTTAATAGTATTGTATTTTATTTATTTTGTATTTTTTACTTATTTGTATTTATATTTTTTATTATATGAAGTATTTTCATAGGGTATAAAACGATATTTCAGCTAGAAAAACTAGCTAAAAACTCAAGAACTTTTCACAAAGTCGCAATTTTGGTCAAGAACGGCCATTTTTTGTCGGAAAATCGATTTTTTAGCCAAAATTTGTAGTTTTCACGTTTAGGAGTAGTAAAAAAAAATCCGTTTAGAAAATCTTGCTCTGTTGTATTAGAAAAAAATAGGATGCAAAGAAAAAGTTACCACCCCCGATATTGCTCAAGTACCAAAAATTAAAATTTGAATAAGTTTTTCAGGGGCCTGATCGATTCGGGAGCCGTACTGGGGAATGTGCGCCAGGGGTGGCGCATCTTTGGCCAAATTCTCTCCGGACTCGACTACATCCACTCGCAGGGGATGATCCATCGGGATATCAAACCGGTAGGGAAGGCTTTTTTTCGATTTATCACTTTTCCGTTGAATTGTAGATGAACATCCTGATCGACGGCAATGATCATATCAAGATTGGCGACTTCGGGCTGGCCACTAGAGAGCTCTTTGTGCGCAAGGATACGGCCGTCGGCCATGAACAGGGTCAGAATTTTAGGTTTCAATGAATTTCTACCGTTTTTTAAAATACAAAATTCATTTTTGTATTGTTTTATATTTATGAGCATTATTATTCATCATATTTTTGCAGATTGTCTTTCGTCGTTTTTGCCGGAAAGCAGCATTGTGAAAAATTTGCGGACCCCCACCCGCTAACAAATTAGAACCAGCTTTGCTTCGTGTCACCCTTTCGACAAAAGGCTTCCATGGGGAGAAATTAACAATGAAGCTTTTTCGCGATTTTCGAAGATATGATCGCCTCCTTAGCGGCGTGACGGTCGGCCAAATTTCGGAATGGGATTAGACTTGTCGTTCGGAGTGGCGCGTAGCCCGCGCATTATTTGGTAATCGATGTTTAAGTTTAATTCTTTTTCAGGCTCGTCCAGCCATGGCGGTTCGGAGGGGATGACGACACAAATTGGCACCGAGCTCTACATGGCCCCAGAATTGTTGACGGCCACCGAGGGACAGCCATATTCGGCAAAAGTTGACGTTTACAGGTCCGTTTCTAACTTTAACCTCTTTTTATCACCCAATTTTGCAGCACCGGCATCGTCCTTTTCGAGCTGTTCTACCGTCCCCTACCGCCGGGCATGGAGCGTATCTCCTGTCTCCGCGGCCTTCGAACCCATTCCGTGTGCCCGGCCGACTTCATGGAGACGATGCCCGCCCAGGTGTGCATCTCGGCTTATTTATTTTTTTTGCTACTTTCCCATTATCGGGGGAGGAACTTTTCCATGACAAATAGAGCAAGTGTTTTTCAATCGTTTTTTTACTATTCCTAGATCAAAAAACGTTACAAATTTTCACTAAAAACACAAAAAAAATTATTTTTCAGCCAAAATTTCTCTAAAAAATTCCTAGGTTTTTGTTAGTTTCTCTACTTGGGCTATATTGAATTTTAATAAATACCCTATGAAAAATACTTACTGTTACCGTACTAGGAATTTTTGGGCGTATAGGAAAAATTCTCCCCCCAGCCCCGATATTGCGAAATTTCCATTATTTGGATTTCAGGGCGGAGTGTGCCGTCGTCTTGTCGAGGAGATGATCTCCGTCGACCCGTCGGCCCGCCCCTCGATTCAATCCATCATCTCTCAGGGCAAAGTGCCGGCCACCGAAGTAGATGATCTCGCTTTTCAGGTATTCATTCATTTTATCGTTCTATTAAATGGACTAGCAAGCGCGCAATCGGCCCCTTGGAAAAATTAGGTCTCGACAGCTACGCGACACTCCAAATGATGCGCCCAAGCTCGAGTAAAATGACATTTGAGCTGTTGAAAGTCGCCAAGCAACTTTGGATCTTGCCATTAGGCATTGCGCGTAGCTGTCTACGCCTAGTCTATGGCTGCGGTCGAATTCGGCGTTTCCTGGTCCCTTGAAAAATTCAATCGTTTCGTTTCACAACAAATTACGGTTCTTTCGCATTATCGGGGGTGGACCAACTTTTTCCTGTCGAATTTTCAATCATAAATATTGCCAGTGTTTCTAAATGGTTTTTTGCTATTCCTTAACGTGAAAACTATCCCAATTTTATTTTAAAAGAAAGCCAAAAATAAAAAAATATCACTTTTTTTTACCAAAATGGCCGATTCTTGACCAAAATTTCGACTTTTTCAAAACTTTGAAGATGGTTTTTCTACTTTGATTACAGTTATTTCTTATTAAAAACACTATTAAAACATTTGCTGCTGCGTTGCTAGACATTTCTGGATTTATACGAAAAAGTTAGCTCTCCTCCCCCCCCTTTACTGCAAAAGAACCCGGTTTTCGAGCGGCTTTTGCAGAAATGCTTCACCCAAGCCCTGCGCCGTCGTACGGGCAATCTGTTCTCGTGGATGATGCGTGAATTGGGGGAAACATGCCCGCCAGCCCCGTTGACGAGACGATTCGATGCTGGAGTATGCCGATGGAGGGATGTCGATGAAGCGGTGGCGAGGGAGACGGCCAGGGAAAGACTCTGCCAAGCCCTTCGACGCATACTAAAACGTCAGTTGTCGTTTTTTTGCAGTATTTAGGGCTGAAACCGGATTTTTTCGGTTAGAATCCAATTTTTTGGGGAGTTCTTTCAACAACTATGCGATTTTGGTTCTGGAGTTCAGCGCCTGGGGGGGGGGGAATAATTTTTGCTTTTTCGCATATACCTACGAATGTTGTTTTTAGTAGTTTTTCATGGCAAGAAGGCTATAAAAATATTTTTTTAAGTTCGAAAATTGGAAAGGCATTTTTACGAGCTTTTATATCCAAAAACGGTCCAGTACGCGAATTTTTAGTAAAGCATACCGAGACGGAAAAAGATCAATTTGCCACGAAAATTTGGGTTCTAAACATTTTTGTTGTCAACGGAATTTGTCAAAAACAAACTTGTGCGATGCCGAAATGTAATGCAAAATTACTAATAAAGGAGTTGCTATTTTATTAGTAGGTGGTTTTCGAATTTGAGGAAAAAAAAAATAGGTTTCCCCATTTCCCTTGATACTGCCAAAACACCAAGTTCCATTCGCTATGCCGAATTTTCCTATACCGATTTCCGCTATGCCGAATTTTCACTATACCGAATTTTCACTATACCGAATTTTCACTATACCGAATTTCGCTATGCCGAATTTTTGGTATACCGAATTTTCACCATGCCGAATCTTCGCCATACCAATTTTGATAAGCGGTATGTTCCCCATTTTTTTTTACTATTTTTCCAAATATCATGGGCCTAGAAAGTTCGAGCTAGCCTGGAAATTTCCAAAAACTCGGGCAGATCGTAGGTCCCGTGGGCGCAGCAGATTTTTTGTTGCACCGCAAAGTCCCAGCCAATTAGCGAAAATTCGGCATAGTGAAAATTCGGCATAGCGAAAATTCGGCATAGCAATAATCGGCATACTGTAAATCGGCACAGCGAAAATCGGCACAGCAAGTATTTACCCAAAACACCCTAACTTAAGTAAGCTCGCTTGATTCACGCATTTTGCTACAATGCTCCTTATTCAGGTCACTCGTTCTTCCCGACGCCTCAACACCTACTGACGCCGGCAGGGGAAGCGCGTGCCGTCTGCGAGCCGACAAAGATGCCCCACGTACTCATCGATTCGACGGCCATTCCGGTTGCATTACCTGTGAGCGTCTTTTTCAGATTTGTTTTTTTTTTTGGTGCCTGGGTGTTTTCGGATCAATTTCTTTCGGATGATTCTAGAAATGACAACGAATTTCCCCCTTTTGCAGCCCGATCTGCGGTGTAACTTTGTGCGCTTCTGCGCGCGCAACGCCATCAAACGGATGAAGCGCTACGCGTTTGGCAAGGTCTTTGCGGCACGTGAAGGTTGGTATCAATTTTTTTTCCTACTGGATTTGGCTCTTTTTCCCAGGTGGTACGGGCGGTGTACACCCCGACGAGCACTGGGAGTTGAGCCTCGACGTCCTCGGCAAGTCGACCACCGACGAGGCGCTCGAGATCCAGGTATTTGTCAGCGTTTCGTGTGGGGGAAAATCTACCTGGCAAACGGCCGTCTTCGAAATTTGGATTGCACGGATCTTTCGCATTATCGGGGGGACCATTTTTCCCTCAAGTCCAGAAATGCCTAGTAATTCATTAGTAAGTATTTTAATGGTGTTTTAGGAAAATGTAGCTATATTTCAAATGAAAAAAAAACAATAAAAACCAATAAATAAATTTTAAGTGAACGTTTGGACGAAAAATCGCTATTTTTTGTATTTTTTGATCGAAATTTGTAACATTTTTACGTTTAAAAATAGTAAAACAACAGTTTAGAAAATCGAACTGTGTTTCACGTGGAAAAAAACGACAATAAAAGGACTTAGAAATACTTTTAATTAAATTTTAATTTTCCGCAGTGAAATTTTGGTCGAAAAGTCGATATTTTTGTATTTTCTTCATCAAGCTTTCTAACGTTTTTACGTTTCGAAATCTTAAAAAATAGTTTAAAAAACCCTGCGTTCCAAAAGTGCTGCCCCCGATAATGCGAAAGTACCGTTTTTCTGCCGCTAAAAATTAATTCAAAATTTCAGTTGTTGACGGCGGTCTCGGACATTCTGCACGACACTTTTCCTGATGAGACACGCTTTGTATTACGGTATCCCGTGGCTTTCAGACTACAATTTTCTCTCTCTTCTTTCAGATTGGGCCATATGGGCCTCGTGGACGCCATCTTCCGCCACCACGGACTCAGCACGGAGCTACGCGATCGTGTCCTCGATGTACTCCACGAACAATCCGCCTCAGCGAGTACGTCTCGAGCATGATGTTCATCTCCTGGGAATTCCGACGCTTCATAATTCCATAATGCCATACTTTAAAAATTTGTGTCTATCGCAATATCGGTCGGGGGCCGGGTGATTTTCCTTACAAGTTTAGAACTGCCTAGTAGGTATTTTAATGATCTTTAGTAAAATAAAACTGTTTTTTCAGTGTAAAAAAAATAAAAAAAAACAAGAAAAAAAATGATAAAACAACCATTGTAAAACAAATTTTTAGCCGAATTTTTGGTCGAAAACGAGGTGTTTTCTCGATTCTTTATAGCGCCATGTATGTGCTAATGGTGTTTTAACAACATTTTGCTGTTTTGCAAGTGTAAAAGCACTCGAAAATACGTCGAAAAATTCTAGCCGGATTTTTGGTCAAAACTCGTTATTTCGACGAAGAATCGATATTTTCTGTAGTTTTTAGTGCTAATTTGTACCGGTTTGACTTTTATATATTATAAAAAAAGTTTAGAAACGTTTACACTATTTGTATTAGAAAAATTGGATCCTTAGAAAAGTCCCCCTCCCCCCCCCCCCGATAGTGCGAAAGAACCGAATTTTGATATTTTTAATTTTCTAAAAAGCACATATTTGATATCCTTCGGGGAAATTGAGGAAAAATTGGTTTTCATGCCCCCCCCCCCCCCCGATAACAGAAAAGCTCCACAATTTTTCCATTTAGGACAGCCCGGAGCGACGGAACGGGTCGATATCCTGTCAGAAGTGGTGGGCACTCGATTGGCCACTTCTCTCGCCTCTTTCTGGCTCTCATCCCCATCAGCCAGCGCCATACGGTATCCCCTTAATTCTGGCTTGAATTTTTTATATTTTTAGGGAAGAGGGGAAGATGTTGCTGAAAAGTCGCGATGAACCCCTTCGTGACGCGTGCAAGACGGCCATCGCCCATCTCGAGCGGATCGTCGAATTGTTTAGAGGTATCGCTCCGGCCCGGCACACCCGTTTTGACGCGCTGTATTTTTGGTACTGGACTGTTAGCGGGGGGGGGTACATTTTTCCGGGTACTCCCGTAAGGGTCCATGCCCAAAAAAACCGTTTTTTAGCATTTTACACAGTTTTTAAGATATAAAAAGCACAAAAACATTGAAAAATTGAAAAATTTTTGAATTTTTGGTCAAAAACATATGAAAATTATTAAAAAAGGGTGAAATTTCAAGTTTTTGAGGATATTGATGTTTCTGGCAATAGAAACACTAAAAACACCTTAAATTACAGGTCGCAAGATGGGCGAAACGATATAAATTAGTTTCCTGCTAAAAATCCCCCCCCCCCCGCTAACGGCCCAGTACCGAAAAATCAATTTCAGACCAAAACATTGACATCGAGTTGTGCCCGTTGCTCGTCTACCGCCCCCGCACATTTGCCGACGGTCTCGTCTTCCAGTTCGGTGCTCATCTACTGCGCAAGGGACGTCTTGGGGTGTATCCCGTTGTGGCCGGAGGTACGCCTTCTTCGGTGCTTCTCCTTTAACGGGGGGCTGTTTTTATTTTTCCTCCTATTCATAATAAATATCGTATTTTTACAATATTTTTTAATAGTTTTTTGATTGCTAGAATTTTTTTGGTCATTTTCTACATTTTTTCTCATTTTTTTCACATTTTTCGACATTTTCAAAAATTTTAATAATTTTTCAAAAGTTTTTTATAGCCAAAAGTTGTACAAAATTTTGTGAAATTGGTGAAAGCACGGCTTCTTCATATCCAAAAAACTTCCCCCATTTTTCAGGCCGATACGACGGGATGCTGACGCGGATACGTGGCCCCGAAGATGAGAAGCCGCCGGGCGAGCTGGCGCTGTGCGGTTGTTCCCTAAACCTTGACCTCCTCCTTGGACTCGGTGGCCAACAACAAAGTTTGTATTTGTTCCGATGCATGCCTAATAACAGCCCTAGATACCGCCGCCCCAGCCCCATGCCAGGTGCTTCTCGGCTCGTTCACCCGGGCGATGACCATCGAGAAGCTGGCGTTGGCCCGGCAATTACGCGATGTCGGGCTGGCGGTGGATACGATGAATGAACCGCTCGACAACCACTCACTCGATGCATTAAAGGCACGTTTTTCGAGTCACCATCCGAGTTAATTTACAAAATCACGTTTCGGTTCTTTCGCATTATCGCGGGGGGGATTTTCTTAGGACCCAATTTTTTTAGCGATAAATAACCGAACCGTTTTATAAACTTTATTGCTATTCCTAAACGTAAAAACTTTACAATGTTTTAAAGAAATTACCAATAAAATATAGATTTTTCGACCAGAAGTGACCGTTTTCTGACCAAAATTTCGACTTTTGTCAAAGTTTTTAGATACATTTTTCTAGTTCAACCTAGAAGATACTTTCTATTAATTTACTAGCCATTTCTAAAATGAAACAATAAAAAATTGGTCCCCCCGATAATGCGAAAGAACCGACATTTTTTTGCCTTGTCCAAAAAACGCTCTCTGCGCTCTAGGGGTCCGGGAAATGTCTAATTTTCACGATTTCGACATCAATCGAAAGGTATCGCTACAAGGCTAGACAATCTGTGTCTTAAATGATATGTCTTAAAGATTCCTATGGCTAAATCCTTCTTTTTTGGAACACGCTGTAATTTCCAGTTTTTCAGGAATTCTGCGACCGCCGTGAAATCCCGTTCCATCTGATCATGTTCGACTCGAATCTGGTCAGTGCTTTTCCTCCCTAAATACTCTTCAATTTGTCTAGGTGCTCACCCGAACGCCCCGCCAAGATTTTGGAAAACTGGAGACGAGGCGCGCCGTCGAGACCGTACTCCGGCAGTTGGCCACGCCCACCACCGAAGCCCCGCCCCACGATACACCACACTCGGATCGCCGTGCCCCATTGGCCAAGTGTGTTTTCAAGTTGTGAAAGGAAATCCACGGCTCTGCTTCGAAAACATGCAAAATTTGGCAAACCTGTAAAACACTAATTTAAATTGATAAATTTTTATCTAGATATTTTTTATGCAATTTCCGTTCAGAAGCGCCTCGTCCACGACACACCCATTGACGCCCACCCACTCGACGGCCGCCCCATTCTCTTCACAGCAGCAGCAACAACAGCAACAGCAACACGGCAGCTGTCAGTCCATCTCATTCCTATGGGCACTCGTCGAAAGACCCGGATATACGGCCAAGAAACGCATCGAGGTACGAGGCGTCGGAATTCGGTTCTTTTGCAGTATCGGGGGGATTTAGAAATGTTTGCTTGAAAAAAGAAAGAGATTTCTCGATAAAATCCACGGTTTTCGAGGAAAATTTCAAAAAAATTTTTTTTCTATTTTTTGTTGATTGCTTTTCCACTTGGAATATAGTTAAATTTTACTAAAGAGCTATTAAGATACTTACTAGGCGTTTCTGGACAGAAGAAAGCAGTTGCCCCCCCCCCCGATATTGCGAAAGAACTCAGAATTGTTTCGGGAACGAGTATCTCTCCATCTCTCTCTATCTCACTCTCTCATTTGCTGTCTTTCACTATCTCTCGCTCGCTCTCTCTCTCTCTCTCTCTCTCTCTCTCTCTCTCTCTTTCTCGCTCTCTCTCTTTCTCAACTACAATTCTTCAATTCAGGGTCGATGCGATGCCCTCCTCAGCGATCTGATGCAAAAGCTGTCCGCTCGTGTCCAATTGACGGTCGTTGTGACTGATATCATCGCCGAAGTCCTCCAATCTTTGTCCTCAAAAATTTGTGAGATTTTTGGTCCCTATAAAAAGTGTCGCTTTCCAGCGCTACCGCTCGACCCTGAACAGCTTCGCCTCGTCTTCGACCGCATGGCCAAGCAGTTTGGCCGGTGGAAAGAGGTGCGTTCGCTCAATTTTCCGCTTTTATGTCAAATTAATTACGACCAAAAATTCATTGCGCCAAAATCGGGGCTTCGCCTTTATCGGGAGGGGGGAAGCCAATTTTTTATTTTTGTGCGTTCTATTTATGTTAGTAATCAGCCATGCGTTTTATGGTGTTTTTCGTGGTTTTTGATTGCTAGAAAGTTATAGCCGGAATTTTTGTATAGTTTAATACTATTTTTCTATCTAAAAACTGTGGTTTTCCCGGTTAAAAGGTGTAATAATAAACAGAAAGCACTGAATTTTTAGGAATTTTAGGAATTGTTTAATTTTTTGACGAATTACAGTGCAATAAAATTTCCTGACGATTCGAAAGATTCGGGATTAGCGGGCGTAGCCCGCTAATCGCTTTTAAAATTTGGATAAAACTTTGAAATCTAGCGGTTTTTTGCAGGAATTGGAGGCAATCTACAGCACACTGAAGACGTTCTCCGCGTCGTCGCGTCACTCGACTCCATCCCTCGTTCTCGCCATCTATTCCACCCCTTCTGATGTACATCGGATGATCATTTAGGCTTTTCTCCTTGTATTTCGCTGCTTTTTCTTTTTCTGTGATTCTCCAAAATATGATATTACGGCCGTTTTTGATATACGATATTTCTTTGTGGGTTGTTAATGTTTTTGTTGACTTTTGATCGCAATTTCGTTGACTTTGAATAAAGGAATTATGGAGTATCACGGACTGCCTTCGTGTTTGCTGTCGAATTTCGGTTGTATTCATTACTCTGCAGGTATGCCCTGAGAGGCCTTCAACACGCCGTCGCCGCCGATCGTCGTTACGCCGTATTTCCGCCTAGAAGTGTTCTGCTTTAACGTTTTCCAGTACCCTCAGCGTGAATTCTACTCTCACGACAACACAAGCAATGGGTTGGGCCGCAACGGAAAATAGGGAAATTGGGCCGAAAATGGGGCTACGCGACGCGCCAATACACCCCGTTTTGAACGAAACTCTAGTCTAAAATCGGAAAGCCTTGGTGCAACCAGTTTTGGAAGTTTTGAAGATTTTTCTTCCTATTTATTCGAGCAGTCGAACTGCATGCCTATCATTTTTTCACTAGAATGATGTTCGATACCTTCTTTTAGCTATTTAAAAACATATGAAAATCGACTGATTAATTTGCAAGCTATTATTAATTCGGCTTGAGCTTTTTGCGGTGCTCGCTCACCGTCTCGAAATTTGTTCAAAACTGATGGAAATTTCGAATAAAATATGAGGAACCAGATGCGTTGAAAATTAGCGGCAATCCGGCACCTTTTCTTGCCACACTTTTAATTTCAGGTGTAAAAAGGGGCAAAGAAAATGGGATCCTAACAGCTGAATCCGAGGTTTAGACCCGCGAAAAATTCTTCTGTGGGCCAGGGCTGGGCTGGTATGACCCTAGGTATCTGCCCAGATAGCAATAGATTTTTTTGATGGAAAAATTTCTTTCACGAAAATTTTGGGCCGAGGACCCAAGCTGGTACGTACGGAGGAAGCCCGTGGACGCAGCGTCTTTCCACGCTTTCCACTGTTTTGAAAATCTGATCTTGAGCAAACTATTTATCTAACTATTTTTCGGGTGTTTAGCGGCTCCGAATAGAGAAATAGCCGGGCCCGGGCAAAATCTCGGCATTTTCGAGCTTTTTCGTCGTCGGGGGCCCCCAGGGGACATGATATGACAAAAAAACATCAGAAAAGTCTTTCTGGCCCACTCGCCATTCAAAACGGGAGCAAAAACGCAAAAGCAAAAAACGTAATTTTGGCGAGACCCGAACCTGCGCCCCCGTTGCCTGGTACCCCCCGCCCCGTACCACTAGACCACTGCAACGATGCGGAAGGGTCGGTGGGAAGGGGTGAAGAGCCGCCCTCCGCCCCGCCCCGCCCCTGACCCACGCGCGACCATTCCATACGTCGTTTTCACGTGTAAATTTAAATGAAAATATTGGTTTGGAAAACAAGCGATTTTTTACCGCATCGCTTTCATCGCCTCCACCTTCATTTATCGGCGCTTTCTTTGCTGCCTTTCTTATTGCATAGCTTATTTATCAGCTCTTTCTTTCAGGTAATCGAGCCAAGAAGAGAAAGATGTGAAGCAGGACTTCGATCAACTTGAAGCGCTGCTGTCGTCGACAAGGCGGCCACCGAGCTCGAGGTGTCTTTTTGCGAGACCGCTGGGCCGACACCGCTGGCTACTTCAAAGGTATGTTTTTCAAGGGGGTTTGCGTTCTGGACTGTTAGCGGGGGGGATTTTTAGCAGTGGCGGAAAACCACTTTTAGGTTTTCCTCCGATTTTTAGATAACGTTATAGCATGCCTGTTGAAGATATATCATGTATTTTAGGTTTTTCAGAGGGTTTTTTTTGTAGTTTTTGATTGCCAAAAGTTAAAAAAAATTGTCAATTTTGAAAATTCAAAAATGTTGACCTTTTCTAGGTCTTTTCATACATTTTTCGCAAAAAAGTCGAACATTTTTTGAATATTTTTTTAGTGTTTGTATATCTAAAAACTATGTAAAATGATAGAAAAATGGTTTATATTTTGTCATAGGGCCGTAGAGAATCACAAGGAAAAATTTGGTTCCCCGCTAAAACCCGCTCCCCCCGCTAACAGTCCAGAACCCGATGTTTTCTATTATCATATCATTTTTTAGGAAGCCATCACCTCGTTTCTTCGGCACAAATTCGACGAGCTGGTGGAGAAACAAAAGGTATCTGCGCGTTTTGAAGGATAATTATGGCTTTTCCAGGATGGGCAATGCCTCGTCTGCTTGGATGCCTGCAGAAACGAGGCGGACAAGGAGATTTTGGTCAGTTTTTCCGTGCAAAGTATGTAAAACAATTGTTTGAATTCCAGAAATTGCCCTGCCGCCACTTTTGCCATTCCGACTGCATCCTGATGTGGTTGAAGAAGGCGAATTCGTGTCCGGCCTGCCGCCATCGACTGCCCACTGACGCCGTGAGTTTCAACGTGCGTTTTGGTGGCTTTCCTATCAGAATCCCGAACGACAAATTTTCGAAATCTCAAAATTCCGGACCTACAGATTTTTTTGGGCCGCCGAATTTTACCGAAGGCGTTTGGTTGACCTTTTGATAGAATACAAAGTGGGTTTATAGGTTTTCTGGTACTGTTCTATTTGGCCGGGGGCAAATTTGGAATTTTTGCCATAAGTTTTTTTTTGCTTTATTCAGGGCTGAAATCGAATACATTATTTTTTTTTTGGCGCAGTATCGAATGGCGTTGAACGAATTCTGTGAAATGACCAAAATGTCGAAAACTAGCATTACATTCGAATGTCTTACGTGGAAATGACGTCTAAATCTTGTTTTTGTTAAAACCATCTTATTACATTATTTGAGGCTATAATTACAAGTCTTAGGAGGTTTTTAAGGCTCGATCGAATCGCGTCCTCAAGACATCGCAAAAATATTGAAAATAGCGAAACTAAAGTGGTAACCCCATTTTCATAGGTTATTTATATATGAATGGTTTATTCAACCGGGTAATATCACGCAGGCGAAAAATTTTTATTTTTGATTTTGCTATAACTTTTTTGGAATTAAACTATTTTGAGCTACAATTAAAGATATTAATATATATTTCTCAATGCTCTATCAAATGGCGTCAAGGAATCCCCGAAAAGACTAGCAAAAATATCGAAACCCCCCTGCGGTTTTGCCCTCGGCCAAATCGAACAGTACCGGTATAGTAGAACAGTATCGGCAAAATAGCAAAAAATTTAGACTTTGGTCTACAAGTCGATATTTTTTGCCCTGTTAGTTATTTAATTTTCATTTCCAGGAATACCAGCGTCAATGGGAGGGTTGAGAAGGCCGGCAACGATATGCGAGAGCTTCTTTGGGTCGAAGCCGCTTTGTCTTTCAGCGTGTTTCAATCAAGGGTACGCGTTTCAAGCTGTTTTCTAATATTATAATATTTTCCAGGAAGCCATCGCCTCATTTCCGCGACCGAAATTTGGCGAGTTTGCCGATAAAAAGGTATTTGCTCGGTTTTAGCGAATATTTATGATGATTCCAGGATGGGCAATCTGCTTGGATACCTGGAGAATCGAGGCGACGGTAGTTGCTTTGAAATGACTGTCTTCGAAAATGGGCTACGATGATTCGTTGGAAGAGGAGGCGGCCGCTTCGATCCCGAATGCCGCAGAGATCGCCGAGGTAAAGCTTAAATTGGTGCTTCTCGTTTAACGGGGGAAGGCAATTTCCCACTATAATTCCTTACGGCCCTGTGACGAAATATAGACAATTTTTGTAGCATTTTACGCATATCTGGACTGTCATTGGGGGACCACTTTTTTGGTATTTTCATAGTGTTTTAGTGGCTTTTGATGATTCGAAAATTATGAATAATATTTTTAACCTTGAAAATTCGAAAATTTTTTTTGGTAATTTTTCATTCATTTTGACTAAAAAGCCAAGAATTTAGGACATCTTTGATTATTTCTTGATTGTTTTTATATCTAGGAACTATGTAAAATGCTGTAAAAATGGCCATTTTGTTATAGGGCGGTAGAGAATCGTAGGGCAAGGTTTTGTTCCCCCCGCTAACAGCCCAGAACCAAAAAGCTCATAAAAACTGCTAAGATTCTCGAGGAGTTTCTGCTTTTTGGTTAAACATTGTGAAAATGACCAAAAGGGTTGAAAATTTATCATCCATTTATTATCAACTGGCATAGGCGGAAAAATAAAAATTAGCTACCCCGCGCTCGTTAAATTGGAAGCACCGGAGATTTTTATGAAATATTTTTAGAGAATACGCATGAGGCTCGCGAGTCTTTTGTTTGTTGGCAAGCAGGCCGAGGATTTGAGGTATGATTTCCATTTTAAAGTGTTTATATTGGAGTTTAGCGTCGACGTCATGGGCTTATTTCTACACCCCGGGCCACTCAATTTCCGGGACTCAGCGTGGGTCGACACCGTTGGCTATTACAAAGGTATGTGTTTCAAAATGTTTTCTTGTATGATGTTATTTTCCAGGAAGCCATCGTGTCGTTTCCGCGACACAATTCTGATGAGTTTGCGTTGGCGCGCAAGAGTGAAGGTTTTTCGACATAATGATGCTTATGCGCACTGTCTCGTCTGATTGTAATGAGGCGTACAAGGACTTTTGGCGGACCGCTTGGAGGTATAGAAAAATTTTTACTCAGTATTCTTCTATTCATAATTTGGAACAGAAACTAAGCTTTAAATTCCAGGTGCTGCCGCGTGATGGCGATTTGAATGCGAATGGCGCCTTTTGACGTCGGCCGAGAAGCCGACGATGTTGGCGACGAGCGCTAATGTCGAGCAACAGATCGACGGGACGAGGATTTTTGTACGTTTATTCTCATAGTTAGTTGCTCTTCTGGTGGTGCGAGTCTTGATTTTGGCTGTCGGTATTTCGACTGTCGGGATTTCGGATGGAATTACCAAAATTTGAATTATGAAATCTGTGAGAAAACATGTCAACGTAGCTATTTTGCAGGAATACTGTCGTCACCTGGAGCGCCACGAAATGCGACGACTCGATGTGGAAGAGCTGCGCGACATCGGCTCGATCGACACCCGGGGACCGTTTTGGAGGTATCGCCTTCAAACTTTCTCCTTCCTTTCGCAATATCGGGGGGGGGGGCTATTAACTAGGCACTATCTCATCACTAGACCTTTCTGGGTTCTTTCGCATTATCGGGGGGGGGGGGGCTGACTTTTTTCTTCGGACAAAATTTTTAGAATATAAATAGTAGAATTGTTTCTAAATGCTTTTTGGCGATTCCTAAACAGGAAATCTATCCAAAATGTTATGATACTAGCAAAAATTAGATTGTTCCACCAAAAATGACCGGTTTCTGACCAAACTTTTGACTATTTCAAAACCTTTTGGACAGTTTGTTAGTTAAATATAGTTATTTCTTACTAACAAACAATATAAAACACTTTGTATTAAGTTACTAGACATTCCTAAACTTATTCGAAACAGTTAGGTCCCCCCCGATAATGCAAAAGAACCCATTTCTGGACTCCTATGAAGCTTCGGTCCCTCAACCCCCCGGCAAGGCGAAAGACTATTCCAATTTTTGACGATTCGGGAAAATTTGCTGATGTTAGAAAACAGACTTAAGTACGCGGTCGGATGTTGGTAGTTTTATATTAACTTAATTTCTTACCCTAGTTGTTGTGCGGTTTTTAGATTTTAAGGGCAGATTCATTGTATTAAATCTTGGTAGTTATATATATATTTTTTTTTGGTTGTTTGTTAGTATTTTTGGTACTCATATAGGCAGGCGGGTTGACTCACGCGTGTTACCATACTCTGCCGTCTTTCACACCTATATTTTCGCGCCTCCGTCTTAGACTACGTAGGAAGTTGATACTGGCTGTCTGTTGGTTTGACAAGCCGATCTTCTTTGGTCTGGACTTTCACTTGAGGTCATCAACTTGGACGTTTTTCGGCCCGATGAGACACTGAAAACCGATAGTAGGTATTAGGTATTTTTAGCAGGGGGGAACCACTTCTTGTTTGTTTTGCCACCTGTTGCTGACACCTGATGTATTTTTATAGTATTTTTAGTAGTTTTTGGTTGCTAGAAAGTTATGAAAATATTTTAAAAACTTCGAAAATTTGAAGATTTTTTGACCTTTTTGGCCACTTTTCATACATTTTGACCAAAAAGTCAACAATTTTGAACATTTTGAAAATTTTTTATATTGTTTTTATATCTAAAAACTATGTAAAATGCTAGAAAAATGAGCCATATTTTATTATAAGGCCGTAGAGAACCACAGGGAAAAAGGTTCCCAGCGGTTCCCAGCCCGCTAAAAATCCCCCGCCCCCCGCTAACAGTCCCTAATCCGATTTTCTATCATAATGTCGAAATTTTTTTGCATAGGGGTTGCGGAATTTTCCGGCAGATTTGGGTATGTTAACCTTCGACATTCACTTTCGACATTTCGACATTTCGGCGTTTTTGAAAGTAACTCCCTACACTCTGCCGAGCCGCGTAGCGTTCTGGGAACCATTGGATAACGCCCGCGAGGCCGCAACAGGCCCCAAGTTGATGCGCGAAAATCAAGCCTGTTCTAGCACGGAAGATCTAGTATACTGAAGTGGTAGTTTATAGTCGCGATAATAATATAATTTGTTCTTGAGAATCTATCAGTTTAAGTTTGCTCAAGAACGAGTTTGAAACGAGCTTCGAAATCTGGTCGACGGCACCCTGCGTTGATTCCTGGCAAATGTCCAGATGCGACCGCGCCGCATTGTCTTTTGCGCCTGTTTGGACGTTAAAACGCTTGAATTTCAAAATTCTGACGCTGTTTTTGGAATCCTCATCGAATTTTGATCATTCTAGACGTTTTAATTATGAAAATTGATTAGAGATCACCGAGATTGGGGTGTTACAAGGCATTACGACATGTAATCGCCGCGAATTCAAAAAGTCGTTTTTACCCCAAGAACTTTTTGGTTTTACTCAGATATTTACGCTTTTTTCGCAATGAAATTACTTTTCTGGTACTTCTCGGCAGTAACCCTTTTGTTTTTTGACCAGCATTTTTGAATTATTTCTATTTTACTAGAATTTCTCGCCTCTTGGGGGCCCGCAGAGCCCGAAATGTGCTTGTCACCCCTACGCCGTGCCCCAGTGACAGTATCCCAGCCCCCCCACCCCCTTTCCGCCCATCATTCGGCGAAAAAATGCGCCAGGGAGAATCCAACGCACTCCGCCTGCGGATTTGGTGATTAATACAGATTATTTCGCTACACTTTTAGCTAAGGCTGTAGCGGCTGTTTCTGGATTTTAAGATATTATTTTGCTTTAGCTTTACTTTCTATTTCTCGACCCGTTTTCCGTTTTTCAACTTAGGCCTTCTAGGAATGTCGCAATCACGTCGCCTAATTTTTTCTATTCATATCTTTCTATTTTTTTTTCTCCGGGGGGCGGGGAATTGCCAGTTTTTGGAAACCCCCCTAGCCTTCGGTCTCTAATCAAGCGCGTGATTAAAATAAATTGATTGAACAGTATTAGAGCCTCTGATATGCTTCTGTTTCATTTTACTTCTTGTCCCTGATGATAATTCAGCTCTTCAGGCATAGCCAAGATGGTGCCTTCGAGGACGACAAATTACGTGCCCACCAATTATCCTGGTCGGTTGATGTTGGTTTATTTGGAACACTATGTTTTAGAAGACGCAAATGGATTAGCGCGACTAGTCGCCGACTCTATTCATCAGTTCGAACAACAAATGGTGATCGACGCCCCGCACCGAGAGCAAATTCTGGCATCACGAGAATATAAAGAGAAGGTTAGTGGGAATTCTCATTGTTGGAGATTTTGCTGTTTGTTATTTTTTTAAACTTTTTTTGGGCGACTTTTATGTGGGTAATTATGTTATTTTAGTTAGAATCGGAGGTCGGCCCGTGGAGGGTCTTGTATTGGCGCGGCGGTGGTTGGAAGGGAATGACAAGCCTCGGACTCGAGCGATTCCACCCCTGTAGTACTGTGAAGGTAATTTCCGTGACTCTTATCGACCTGAATTTAGATCCCGCACGGATCTGTTGGGGTCTTGACTCACGTGCGGTTGCGCGCAAATCATTCTTGGGCAAAAGTGGAGCGGCACATGTTGGAAAACGTGAGTGATTGTGTTTTTGTATTGTAGAATGAATTTTAGAATTTCCAATCCCGCCTCCTTCATTGTCGATGTTCTCGAGAGGAAATGGAAATAGGTCAGTTTGGACCGTTACGACCGGTACCCTTGGACTGTTAGCAGGGGCAAATTTTTATCAGGCGGAAACCACTTTTTGTTTTTCCACCTAGTGCCTACGTTTTGAGGATAGATTATGTATTTTTATAGGCTTTTTAGTAGTTTTTGATTGCTAGAAAATTATAATAAAACTTTTTGGAAAATTGTGATCATTTTTTCATACATTTTCGACCAAAAAGTCAAAAATTTTCGAAAATTTCTAATGATTATTTATTGTTTTTATCTAAAAACTACGTAAAATGCTATCAAAATAGTTTATATTTTGTTATAGGGCCGTAGAGAATCACAGGGAAAAATTTGGTTCCGCCCTGCTAACAGTCCAAAACCACTTTCTTTTGGTCTAGCAACTGACCCTCTAACTGTTGTTTTTAGGAGCTGCCAACTACGTAGACGAGTCTCAGATGAGGGACTTCCACGCCCAGCAGCAGCATTTCTCGGCATTTCCTGGTTGGTATTCGGTGTTACGTTTTGAAAATGTTTTCATTTAGCGCTTTCGACAGCGATGGCTGCCGCCGGCCCCTCCACTTCTGGGTCAAATAATGGGGCCCACCCGATGCTGCCGCCACATGGTATCTGCGGAAATCGTCGGGTTGGAAAGGAATTATTTTAGATCTGAACGAGGGCGGCGATAGCCGCGGCTACGGCCACTACTTCAACGCCAACCACGGTATCTTGGCTCTTTTTGACTTTTACGCATCTTTTAGGTTATGACCTCCACGACGATTCGTAGCAACTTCCTGAAGCCGGCACAAGGTCAACGACGCAAAAAAAAAAAAAAATTGTGTCTTTGTTTCAAATGTTGTCTTTCCCCCGTCTTTCAAATATGTTGTAAATTTGTTTTCCTTTTATTCCTGTACATGAAGTTTTAATGGATAAATGTTTTACAGTACAATACGGCCTTTCAGAGTTGATGCTGCGTTTTTCCAGCTTGGAAATGCATTTTCTATAACCAAATACGACGTTTTAAAGGCGGAATGTGTGAAGACTAATCGCCGAAGATTGCATAGCAGAATTTGCGGCTCGAACGGCACCTGCCGATCTGATGTCGTATGGCCGTGGCCATTTGTGCTTTCCACGGCGCGGCGGTCACATGTCAATGAAGAAACATTTTTGGTGTCTATGGAGGGTATATCGCGAGCATTACCATGTGACCATGAGGAAGTTTGTCATGTGGTTTAGGGCTACAAAAGCCAAATGAGCTTTCATAATTTAGGTTTATTTATCGGCTTCTCATGTCTCTCCGAGCATCCGAAACAGCATGCGGCTGTTAATGTAGTTGGAAGGCTGCGAAATGGCCCTTGCTTACATCCAATCCAACATGATCAAACAGTAACTGTCGAATATCCGGAAGAAGAGGCATGTTTGAAAGAGGTTGGAAACATTAATTATGAACAAGTATTCAAAAGATTAGCACTGGGCTAGCATATTGATCTTTTAGCTTCTGATGAAATGATGATGATGATGATGATGAGATGTCCTGATCCGACGTTTCGGATAAAATTTCAAGAGAATGCCTGGGGCATTAAGAATATTGTTGGCTATGCCAATTTATTGAGAAGATTAGCTGCACTTCTGATTGATTCTTTGAAACCGGGCATGGAGGTGGTGATTTTTCTCCGTCGAACCAGGGATTTCTCGGTGCTCTCTTTGCTATACAAAGAAGAGTGCTGTATTTGAAGGGTAGCGGTTGGAGAATAGCTACAAAATACGACTAGGAAAGCGGTTTTAGAAACACCCAGCTCTCGCGTCCATTCAGACGCCTTTTTGACGGAAGATCTGCACTTAATGGGGATCCCTTGCTTCGACGATTCGCTCGAACCATTGCAAAAAAGCACCGTGGCTACTGCATCCGCTCAAATTCCTGCAGAATTTGGTAAGTTACGGCGAAGGTCATTAAAACTAAGGTTTTCAGGCGTCCCAGTGCTTCGCCGATCTCACCGAGTCACCGCCGGATTTGCTATGGTATCCCAGGCAGGTAACATCCGGTCCGTGGAATAAAAATATGGCGATGAAAATTGTTTTCCTTTCAGCGGCCTTTCCTCGAGCTACCACTCAAATCGCCTTGCGGCTTTTCGTGAAAACCATTTATTTCTTCACGCATTAACTTGGCATTCTTTCATTTTGCCATCATTTGTCATAAATGCATACAGTTATTAAACCTTCCCATAGAAATGCGACGAGGAAATCTGAAATGATCTTTTTCTTTGACAAATCATCTGAACATACAATTTCCATAGACGCTGATTTGGCAGTAATAAATGCAGCTATCTTCCGGATATCCCTGCAAAAGGAGGAGGTGTTTGAAAGGAATTCTTTTTGTTAGGTCACCGATAGTGGTCCGTAGTGCACAGCCATGCAGTCCTTTATCCATACTTGGAGTATTTTGGCCTCTTCCCGTGTTGCGTCCAGAAATTCCAGCCGGCCACATGAACTGCTCGAGCCGTTTTTCGAACGAAATTCATGAAAACACGATTATGATTGAGCCCGGTCGCCCCACTCATTACCAAAAATGTATAGAAGTCGTCCCGATTCTCCATCGACATCAAATGAATAATTCCGGGTTGATGCTCACGTTTTGGGCGTATTGTAAACTAAATTTTTTGGCCAAACTTCTACAGGGTGTGTCCAAAAAAAATGACTGAAATTTGCACTGCAATATCTGTCGAACGGAGACGAATCGAACCTTCGTTACCATGCCAGAATGCTTAAAAGTGCTGGGCATGAAGAAATAAAGCAACTTGATTTTTTCGATTTTTGAATACACAACTGTACTATTGACGCTGGTTACGGCCGAAAATTGTGCGTTCGTCACGGGTTGCGGAAAAATTCTGGTTTTGTTATCATAAATGGCTCAAATTTATTGAAATGTGATGGCAAATTCTTAGAATTTTTCGAGGTCTATTTCATTTTTTAAAAGTAAAACAATTTTCGCGGTTTTGAGTTCTTTTGCTCTTTGAGTCTCATCTCGCTCCTAACTCACTGCCCATGGCTGCTGTTTTTCCAAGACTTATCCAAATATTGAGCTGGGATCCCACACCAGATTCCACCACATTCTATGGTTGTTTTGTATTGCTTGCTAAAACGTGCCCAGAGGCCTCGTATGCGCCGGGGAGGGGGAGAGGAATGGCAATAGGAGGCAGATCCAGAGCGACGACCAACCTCGCGAATGCCACAAAACGAAGCAGGCCAATAATGGATTTCACCTACATCCATGTACTGTGCAAGCCGTCGAAATCCCATCGGCCGAGTTCGAAGCAGGCCACCATCCGCGCACTTCCACACTTCCACCCGCGGCCCAGGTTGCCATCCCACACTTTCTCGCAAACGGCACAGTTCCACGGTGCGCGCGTACCGTAGCGCTGCAACATCGTGTGAATGGGTCAGAGCGACACTTGCGTGCTGCTACTACTGTTAAGCTGCATGCCAATGCTACCTTACAGTAACGGACAAAAGTAAATCCCCCCATTTTTCGCCTTTCTGGGCCGTTTTCCTGCAAATCCTCGAAAATTTAGCTTGAGAAATTTTTATATGGATGCGCTACAACGTTATGAATAAATGGGGAAAGGTTGCTTAACGGGGGGAGGGACCAATAACGGGCGTGGAAACAATTTTAATAATAAAGAATAAATAGGATAATAAAGAATATTCTGCTATTTTGAAAACGCCATCGGATAGCGCGCCGAAAATTATAGTTTTGTTTTTTAAAATAACTAATTTATAATACATGATTTCGGGCTGAAATTAAATTTCTTAGTATATTTTTTTATGCTCTATCCGATGGCCTTCATGAATTCCCGTTAAAACAGCCAAAAATACCAAAAATAGCATTTCCCGAAAAATCGGCATTTTCCGGGGTTACGGCAGGCTCCAAATGACGGTGTTTGCCTTAGTTGGGTTACGGTAGCTTCGGAATCGCCATTTTTGGCGATTTTCCATTAAAATCTCGATTTTTCCGAAAAATCTACATTTTTCCCGAAAATTGGCATTTTTCGCAAAAATCGGCATTTTCCGGGGTTACGGTAGTTTCCAAATGACGGTTTTTGGCTTAGTTGGGTTACGGTAGCTTCGGAATTGCCATTTTGGCAATTATCCTATAAAATATCATTTTTCCCAAAAATAGCATTTTCCGAAAAATCGGCATTTTCCGGGGTTACGGTAGTTTCCAAATGACGGTTTTTGCGTTAGTTGGGTTACGGTAGCGTCGGAATTGCCATTTTTGGCAATTTTCCATTAAAATCTGAATTTTCCCGAAAAATCGGCATTTTTCGCAAAAATCGGCATTTTCCGGGGTTACGGTAGGTTCCCAATGACGGTTTTTGCCTTAGTTGGGTTACGGTAGGTTCGAAATTGCCATTTTGCGCGATTTTCCTTTAAATTAGCGAAAAATCGACATTTTTCCCAAAAATAGCATTTTCCGAAAAATCGGCATTTTCCGGGGTTACGGCAGGATCCAAATGACGGTTTTTGCCTTAATTGGGTTACGGTAGTTTCGAAATTGCCATTTTTCGCGATTTTCCTTTAAATTAGCGAAAAATCGGCATTTTTCGCAAAAATCGGCATTTTCCGGGGTTACGGTAGTTTCCAAATGACGGTTTTTGGCTTAGTTGGGCTACGGTAGCTTCGGAATTGCCATTTTTCGCGATTTTCCTTTAAATTAGCGAAAAATCGACATTTTTCCCAAAAATTGGCATTTTTCCCAAAAATCGGCATTTTCCGGGGTTACGGTAGGTTCCAAATGACGGTTTTTGCCTTAATTGGGTTACGGTAGTTTCGAAATTGCCATTTTTCGCGATTTTTCTTTAAATTAGCGAAAATCGACATTTTCCCAAAATTGGCATTTTTCCCGAAAATCGGCATTTTCCGGGGTTACGGTAGGTTCCAATGACGGTTTTGCCTTAATTGGGTTACGGTAGTTTCGAAATTGCCATTTTTCGCGATTTTCCTTTAAATTAGCGAAAAATCGGCATTTTTCGCAAAAATCGGCATTTTCCGGGGTTACGGTAGTTTCCAAATGACGGTTTTGGCTTTGGAGTTACGGTAGCTTCCGGAATTGCCATTTTAGCAATTATCCTATAAAATATCATTTTTCCCGAAAAATCGGCATTTTCCCAAAAAATCGGCATTTTCCGGGGTTACGGTAGGCTCCAAATGACGGTTTTTGCCTTGGTTGGGTTACGGTAGCTTCGGAATCGTCATTTTTGGCAATTATCCTATAAAATATCATTTTTCCCGAAAAATCGGCATTTTCCCAAAAAATCGGCATTTTCCGGGGTTACGGTAGGCTCCAAATGACGGTTTTGCCTTGGATTTAGGTTACGGTAGCTTCGGAATCGTCATTTTGGCAATTATCCTATAAAATATCATTTTTCCCGAAAAATCGGCATTTTCCCAAAAAATCGGCATTTTCCGGGGTTACGGTAGGCTCCAAATGACGGTTTTTGCCTTGGTTGGGTTACGGTAGGTTCGAAATTGCCATTTTTCGCGATTTTCCTTTAAATTAGCGAAAAATCGACATTTTTTTCCCAAAAATCGAATTTTTTTCCCAAAATTGGCATTTTCGGGGGTTACGGTAGGCTCCAAATGACGGTTTTTGCCTTGGTTGGGTTACGGTAGTTTCGAAATTGCCTTTTTGGCGATTTTCCATTAAAATCGGAATTTTCCCGAAAAATCGGCATTTTTCGCAAAAATCGGCATTTTCCGGGGTTACGGTAGGTTCCAAATGACGGT